CTATGAAATAACTCAACTTTTTAATCCACTTAGCTACTCTGTTTGCTCCATTAATTATGCACAGCCGATTTTTCATCTACAACAAATAACTAAATTAGAAGTATCAAAGATTATTAATAGTTTAAAAATTTCGAAGGCCATGGATATCTATGGCCTTGATACATGTTTTTTAAAAAGGCATAAAGAGGTTCTTATTCAGCCTATTACACATCTGATTAATCAGTCCTTAAGTCAATCCATCATGCCTTCAGCATGGAAGTTGGCACTGGTCACACCTATTTTTAAATCAGGGGAAAGATCAGTCATGGACAATTATCGGCCTATCAGTATTTTACCTGTTGTTTCTAAAATACTTGAAAAATGGGTGGCCAATTTATTGATCCAACATCTCAATAAAAGCGAAAACTCACTCCATCCCTTGCAATTTGGCTTCAGGGCCCATCACTCAACAGAAACAGCCAATTGTTTGTTTCTGGAAAAGGTTAAAGGTTACTTAGATAAGAGTTCTTGCGTCGGTGCTGTTTTTTTAGACTTAAAGCGAGCTTTTGATACTGTTAATCATGAAGTTCTTTTATCTAAATTAACATATTTTAATTTCTCTGAGCAAGCTCTCAACTGGATAAAATCATACTTGTCATGTAGAAAGCAATGTGTTCGTATTAATGATGCAACGTCCCCTTTATGCAAATGTCCTGCAGGGGTCCCTCAAGGCTCCATACTTGGTCCGATTTTATTTACACTTTATATAAATGACCTGCCAGAGGCATGTAAAAATGTTGATGTCCAGTTGTACGCAGATGATGCCGTAATATTCACACATGGTAAGAACTATCTGGAGATAGCATCCACACTCACATCAGCAATGGCTCACATCGATGACTGGCTCACTAAGTCATGTCTCCATCTAAATACTAAAAAAACTGTTTGTATGGCGTTTACCAAACAAAGCATGAAGGTGTTAAATTCTAATGTATTCTTCAGAGGACAGGAGCTTGACATTGTTAATGAATTTAAGTATTTAGGAGTTATTTATGACTCCACTTTAACCTTTAAATGTCATGTAAAAAAGGTGGCAAATAAAGTTAAATACAGTTTGCAGAATTTTAAACAAGTTAGGCCATTCCTTAATACCAAAGCTGCGAAGTTGTTCTTATATACTATGATTTTTTCTCATATTGAGTACTGTTTTTTAAATTGGTCATTAACTAGTATATCTACGCTTAAAAATATTAAATCTCTTTTTAAGAAAGCCATAAAAATTTTTGATAAAAAAGCTTTGTCATTTCACCATTGTGATATCCTAGCGAGACATAATTTTCTAAGTTTCGACAATCTAAAAAATTTCAAGTATGTTTGTCTGGTTTATAAAGTGTTAAACAATCTTGCTCCGCCTCCGCTGCATGTCTTCTTTCAAAAACTTGCATGTGGAGGTAGTACACGGGCCTCTGCAAAAGGGGACTGCATGATACCATTTAGACGTACCACCTTTGGACAAAATGTATTATCAATAATAGGTGGTAAACTATGGAATAATTTGCCCCTTTCGATACGAGAGTGTCCTTCTTTTGACACCTTCAAAACTCACTTGAAAAAGTGGCTCATAGATAACCAGAGATGCACTCATATTTAACTATCATACTTATATAAGCCATAAACTATCGTGGTTAAAATTAATTGTAGTATAGTGGTGATTGTATAATGTTTGTGTTTTTATGTACATCTTGTTTTTATCTATACGCTGTCTGTAATATCAATGTATTTTTATTTGTGTATGTTGTTATAGTGAATGAATGCTGTATGACTGTTGTTATTTTATTTATTTGTTTTTGCTACCGGCCTAGGGACTGCAGATGAAAACTAGTATCTGTTTACTAATTCTGGCGTATTTACATGGTGTAGTTTTCTACAACAATGTTCATGAATACGCATGGTCCCTATCAAATAAACTAAATAAAAATAAAAAATAAAAAAAAAAAAAAAATCTCTCTTTAAATACTGGTCAGTTCGAGAATAATTTATGCAATTTTATGATACATTTGAAAGAATTAAAAGAGCATTTTAATGTCTATTCTTGTATTGCTTTGTGTAATTTACCCAACACTGTTTAGCATCATAGTATTTATTAGTTTTTATTTTTGGATTTTAATTTTAGTATTTTGGTGGTTATATGAGTTTGCTCTCCGGTCATTTGACTTTTTTTTTTTTTTAAGTTTTTTTTTTTTATTTAAAAGTTTTGACACTTGCTGTGTAAACAAAAAATGTAGTACCATAAAATAAAATCCCCTAAAAATACAAAATATTAAATAAAAAGCATTATCGGACTAAAATATATACGTTTATTTCCCTGAAATAAAAAACAATTTTGACCGCCACGCACCTGTCCCGATGAAGATCGGCTCAAACCGGTTTCTACAAACAAAAGGTACTTTAATAAGACAAACTCATGTAATTCAAAGGCGAGAAGGCAATGTAACAGAGAGTCTACACACAATACCAGAAAACAACTGAATAAAAAGGAGGAACTTAAATACAAGGTGGTGATGAGACAATGAGAAACAGCTGTGATGATTAATGAGTTTCCATGACAACTCACTTAAGGCGGGAAACTATAGGAAGCATGATGAATGCAAACTAAAAGTCCATGAAAACTCAACTAAACACACAGATCGTGACAGCACCAGAGGGTGAAATATGTCCATTTAGTTTCATTTCAGTTTTAGTTTTAGTAGATGTTTGATTTCAAATTAAAGTTTAAACTAAATGAAAATTAGAAATTATGCATTCTAACTGTAAAAAAAAAAAAAGATTTTTATAATAATTTTTATTTAAATTAACGTAAATGTTTTTGTAATATTTCTAATTTTAGTTAATGAACACAACACTGTGATTCCTGGAGTTTATCCCTCTTTTCATTGTTTATTTGAAGAAAGACTTGCTGTAAGAGTTGATGTCAGGCCCTGTGTGTGAAGTAAACAGTCGTAGTTGATTATATGGTTAGTTAAATGAGCGTTGTGTCTGATGTCAGGACACAGAATGTGATCGAGGGACATGTTTCTCGCTCTGGGGACAATAATGCATCTGTCTGTTCCTGTTATCAGTGAAGCTCCACATCTGCTCTTATTGCTTCTCCAACTCGCCCTACCATCCTCACAAAAGTGTCACTGGTGGTCGTGTCCAACAAACCACAAACTCAAACCAATTTACCTCATAGAGAGAGAGAGAGAGAGAGAGAGAGAGAGAGAGAGAGAGAGAGAGAGAGAGAGAGAGAGAGAGAGAGAGAGAGGGAGAGAGAGAGAGAGAGAGAGAGAGAGAGAGAGAGAGAGAGAGAGAGAGAGAGAGAGAGAGAGAGAGAGAGAGAGAGAGAGAGAGAGAGAGAGAGAGAGAGAGAGAGAGAGGAGAGAGAGAGAGGAGAGAGATAGAGAGAGAGAGAGAGAGAATAAACAAACTGGAGGGTTAAATCTGCTCTCTCTCTCTTTTTTTTTTCTTTTTTTTTTTTTTTTTTGATGTCAATTTTCAAGGACAAAGGGATTTTTGCCCCAAAAAAACGTATGATTCATAATTTAATTTTTCATGACTATTTTGAAATGTAAATGTCGGGGTGTGAGGTGTGTTAGTGTCGTCTCTCACTTAGGTGTGTAAGTTTCTCTGTTTATTTTTTAGGTGTTTTACAAATTCATCACTATAACTGATATAATGGTCTTGTTTATGGATTGTGATACTGGTTTACTGGAAATGGATAATACAACTAAAAAAAATGTTATTTTACATGTTTCATCCATTCATAGCCAAGAAAATTACTAACTAAGATTTAAGAGAGAATCTAAAATAAAATAAGATTTTACTATTCTACATGTATCAATGTGATTTTTTTGGTCTTTTATCATAGATTTTTCAGTGTCCCACATTAGGAAGCTGCTGATTATTTCAGACAATTTGCAATACGAGCACTAATATGTCTATAATATCTCTTATGAATGGGTTATCTGAATTTTCTCTTTTGATTTGATTAGGACACATACTGTTTTTTTTTAAATGGTGTGGATTTAATGTTTTGGTTACACATTGCAATATGTCACAGAAGTCTGAAGTGCAAAAAATGTCCCACATTAGGGCAATTCACCCTATATATATATATATATATATATATATATATGCCTATATGATTAATTTAAAGCTCGAATATAAGTAATCTCTTTCTCTCAGTATTCCAGCAGTGGTGATACACAGACCGAACACATGATGGCGCTAACTCACTACTATAGTTAACAACACACTGTTGTTGAAATAACATTAATAATAATATGAGTAATAATATGCCATTTTAAACACCAACAGTGCTAAAGATTCATTGTAATTTATTACTGTGTGTAGTTTGACAAATCAGACAACTATAAACTCTCTATGTCTTGTTGCCTGTCTGTATGTAAAACTTTACAAATAAAGTTGTAAATGTGAAACATTTTATAATTTAAAATTAATAACTAGCAGTATTAGTAAAATCATTTTCTTACACACAATATTTGTATTGAATAATTACATATTATTTATAGTAATTCAGTGTTAATTGAAGTGTATTAAAATATATTTAAATATTAGTAAGTTGTAATAGGTTTGGTTTTAAAATTGTTTAGTGTACTACGTTTTAATATTTCGACAGATTTGTAACATTTTAATATTAGTAGTAATGGTAGTAGCCTACTAATAAATAATGTTGCTCAGTTTCTTTGATCTAATATTGATCTGAATTTAATCTGATTTGTAGACATGAATATGGTGGACTCGTTGACATATCGCAGCAATGATGTATGTGTTTATTATGTCTATGTAATTTCTACTGTTTGAAATACAAGTAGAAAGTGTCTTTAAAACGAACCCCGCCCATCGCCATGTCATAAATCATGTCATGCGTCATTTCCTCATTTGGAATGCGGAAGTTGCGAATACACTGTATCAGCAGTTACTCCAGTTCAGTTTATACCTATGGTTTATACACCTGTTTCTCACAGTTTGATCTGTATAAATGAAAGGATTCGGATTATTGTCGGTAAGAAAGACATGTTCCTTCTCGTTTAGATGTTTATTGGATGGAGAAGAAAGTGAAGTGTTTACATGAGAGACATTTAGAAAAATCGAGCAACGAACGCATTATCATATCATAAAGATTGTTGTTCAGTTTTCATCTAAACTGCGGTAATGTCCGATCATCTTCAGCTTTAAATGGAGATATGACAACTTGGTTTCGGTACTATAGGACAAAACTTCATTTCCTCTCAAGTTTTTGTGACTGTGTCTGTTGGAATACAAATATATTATATTTGTAAGGAAAAGAGTTTTTGCATAATTTTTATAATGCACTGTATCAATGAGGAAAAAAATATTGGTGGTGTTTTTCCTGCTTAAAATTGGACACTATAACAATATCAATACACATTTTAATTAATTTTTTATTAATTTAATTTTTAAAAGTTTGTTGCATCAAGGCAACATTGTACCACAACGGACCAATTGAAACATTTGACATTTTCACGTAGAAAATAATAATAATAATAACTTTATTTTATATATCGCTTTTAAAAGTCAATTCTCAGAGCGCTTAACATAGACAATAGATAAAATAAGCATGACATACAATACAAACTATTACAGCATGCACGCATACAAACAATGTTATATAACAATAAATATATTTATTGAAAACATCAATTTCTTTAACCAGACACTTGAACGAACACATTTATCCAGTTTTTAATGTATTCATAATTTCATATTTAATAAAAAGTAACATTTCATATCCTTCTGTTGCTCTCAGGCAACATTGTACCATAGTGGAACACAAGTATTGCCAAACCATCATATCATCAAATTATCATAATCAATTTATCAAATTCATATCCATATTCACCCTGCAGGATTCACTATGTCACTATGACCTCATCTTCCTCATCACAGTATGACTCCTCTTCCTCACCATCATCAACTGGCAGTTGTGTTTTTATCATTTTTTAGGTGATATAGAAAATGTGCAGATCATAATATGTGCAGGTATAGTATGCGAGTTACTATTCTTATAAGTGCATTACAAAATCATGCAAAAAATGCAAATATATTTAGATAATTCGAACACGTTTCCTTACCAATATAATATATTTGTATCCAACAACCTATATGCCTAATGTGGTTCCATTGTGGTACAATTTTGCCTCGAGGCAACACCGTTTTTTTATGTCCTCTAAAACATTTGATGATATATAGTGTAAAGTTCTTGAAAATACTTCTTTACTTACCAGTGAAGGTGACTCATATTTTTGTGGGTGATTTAACTAGACACAAATTTAGTGAAAAATGCACTTTTCATTGGGGGAAATATGGAGCCATGTGCTGAAACAAAACACAAAATGGACCCCGTGGGTCATGTGACCACTTTATTGCACTTTCATTGATTAGTATTTGGGTTCTTCTCCCCTGAGATAGGTTTGACTAATAAATGTGTGTCTCGTTTTATTAAAAATAAACTAAAATAGGCCGTTGCCTGGATGCAACACCGTACCAGAGGGTTAAAACGCATGCAGATAATAAACTTTCATGATGATAAAGAACTGCAATATCACGTGAGCCCGATAGAAATAAAAAATATATATATGTTTTGTTGTCCCGCCCTCTTCTGGAAAGGGGTGGAGCAGCAGCTTATTTGCATTTGGTTTGGTCTATGGGCCTTTTAAGTACATTGTGACTGTTCTCAGCAGTATAACAAATCTACTCTGATATTTGGATTTTTGAGAACAAATCAGTGCACAAAAGTCAATGGCTACAAGAAAAGCAGCCGAGATGGAAGAAATAAAGGCATCTTTAAAGTTTATGGCAGATGAGATCAGCAAGGTTGCTACTCAACAACAAAGCATCTTGGCCCTTATGGAGGAGATACGTAATCTAAGAGAAACAGTAAATTTGAGAGATAAAAAGATTGATGAACTTGAACAAAGGATTGACGCATTGGAACAACAAACTTGGAGTAAAGATGTCATTATTACTGGACTAGAGACAAAGCATCGCAGCTACGCCAGAGCAGCAGCAGGAGCAAATGAAGGCGAGGACGCTCCTCTAGAAGAATTGCAGACATTGGAACAACAGGTTTTGCTGTACCTAAGCAGTAAACATATCGATCTGGATGATAGTAACATCTCTAGCTGCCATGCAATCCCAAACAAGAATCGTAAAGAGAAGCCATCCATAGTGGTACAGTTAGTTTCACAAAAGCACAAGATTGAGTTACTGCGACAGACCAGAAAATTAAGAGGTACCGGAGTCTACATAAACGAGTATTTAACAAAGAAAAATGCTGAAATAGCAAAATGGAGCCGTATACTCAGGAAACAAGACAAAATACAAGCAACATGGACAAGGAATGGGAAGGTGTACATCCGACCAAATGGAGAAGATCAAAATAGGCCAACCATAATAAGAAAATTGCAAGAATTGGACAGTTACAAGTGATGGTCCACTTCAGCAGGATAAAGGACTTTGTATTGCTATGGAGGAACTTGTGAAGAAATTGAGGAATATAACTATAGATGATATGTCTGACCGGGATGAACTTAAGAGGTATGGTTTTGAAAATGAAATTGATCCAGATATGCATTACTATAACAATCTTGACATTACTTGTAATTATTATACGGAACAAGAATTTAACAAGAGTGTGGAAATGTATGGTGCTCTGTCCGTTGTACATTTCAATAGCAGAAGTCTAAGTAAAAATTTCTCCGCTATCAAAGAATTTCTTAAGTCCTTTAAAAAATTTACTTATAATAATAGCAATATCAGAGACTTGGCTTGATGATGGTAAAGTGGATGACGTGGGTCTTGAGGGATACGAGTTGTATACTATCAACAGGAATAATAAAAAGGGCGGAGGAGTGGCTTTGTATATAGATCAATCATTAAGAAGTAAAATTGTAAAAAATGTTTCATATAGCATAGACAATGTTCTGGATTGTGTAACAGTGGAAATTGAAGTAGAACATTCCAGTAATATAATTATTAGCTGTGTGTACAGACCACCAGGAACATGTTTGTCAACATTTAATGAAAAAATTATAGATTTGCTTAACAATATGACCACCGACAAAGTACAAATAGTGTGTGGAGACTTCAACATTGATATACTTAATCAATGTGTCTTTAAAGGTATTTCTGAGTTTATAAATATGATGTACAGTAATCATTTATGTCCACTTATTGATAAGCCAAGCAGAATTACATCAGAAACTGCAACCCTAATAGATCATATTTTTACCAATAAACTTGAGGAAAAAGTTGTTGGGGGCTTATTTATTACGGATGTCAGTGATCATTTGCCAGTATTTGCAATATTTCCACATTTTTTTATACGAATCCCATACCAGTAATAAATTCATAAGAAGATGTACGGCAAAAAATATTGAAGAATTCAAAAAGGAACTCAGTAACCAAAACTGGTCTGATATTTATGCAGAAAGTGATGTAAATGTAGCATACGATACTTTTTTGTATAGATTTATTGAGTTGTATAATATCAATTGCCCCATGAAGATGATTCATAACCAAGAAAATAGATCAGCAAAAAAGCCATGGATAACAAAAGGTATTGAAAATGCATGTAAAAAGAAGAATGCACTATATGTGAAATTTGTATAAAAAAAAAGGACTATTGAGTCGGAAGAAAAATACAAAAAATATAAAAATAAATTGATAAGTATTATCCGAAATAGTAAAAAACAATATTTTCATACCCTCTTAGAACAACAAAAGCAAAATATGCAAGGAACTTGGAAAGTATTAAACAAAATTATTTAAAAAACGAATAACAAACGAGAGTGTACAAGTTATTTCATGAATGACAATGAAGTCCTTATTAGAAATCCAAAGGAGATAGTAAATGAATTCAATGATTACTTTGTTAATGTTGGTTTCAATTTGGCAAAAGGTATTACTGAATCAAAAAGTAAAAATATAAAGAGTTGTGAAAATATCAGTAGGAACTTTTCCTCGATGTATGTGTCTGACATTAGCAAAAATGAAATACTGGAGATTGTGAATGGTTTTAAAAATAAAAGGTCAACCGATTGGACAGATATGGACATGAAACTAGTTAAAAAATATAATCCATTTAATATTAGAACCCCTGACTTATATCTTCAACTTGTCCTTTAAATTTGGAGTGTTTCCAGATCAGATGAAAATTGCAAAAATTATACCAATTTACAAGAGTGGTGATAGTCATTTATACTCAAACTATAGACCAATTTCATTATTATCCCAATTTTCAAAAATACTGGAAAAAAATTTTTTGAAGAGGCTTGATAGTTTCATAGAAAAATTCATGATATTAAGTGACGATCAATATGGATTCAGGAGTGGTCGATCGACTTCAATGGCAGTTATTAAATTAGTTGATTATATAGCATCTGCATTAGACAAAAAGTATTCTACTTTGGGTGTTTTTGTCGACCTCAAAAAAGCCTTTGATACCATAGATCATAAATTGTTAATGAATAAACTAGAGCAGTATGGTTTTAGAGGCCGTGCTTACTCTTGGTTAGAAAGCTATCTTGACAATAGACACCAGTATGTTCATTTTAATGAGCATCAATCAGAAATGCGTAAAGTAACTTGTGGGGTGCCCCAGGGTTCTTTGCTTGGTCCTAAGTTGTTTATTTTATATATTAATGACATCTGTAAGGTATCCAATTTGTTAAAATGTGTATTATTTGCAGATGACACAACACTGTATGTATCTGGGGAAAATCTTCACCAATTAATTTCTGATGTGACTAGAGAACTATCCAGAATTAAGCAATGGTTTGACCGAAATAAACTATCTTTTAATTTAAGTAAAACCAAATATATTATATTTAGTAATCGACAAATTAAAACCAGCATGAGCTTAAAGATTGATGATGTGGAACTAGAAAGGGTAAATGAAAACAAATTTCTTGGAATAATATTAGACCATAAACTATCCTGGAAACCTCACATCGCTCATGTTCAATCAAAACTGTCTAAAACAATAGCTATATTACATAAAACCAAGTATTTTTTAAATACGCCGTCTTTGTATATTCTGTATTGTTCTCTTATTGTTTCATATTTTTCTTACTGTGTTGAAATATGGGGGCATGCCTACACCACAAACACAAAACCCATTTTTATTTTACAAAAAAAAGCTATAAGGATAGTCAATCATTCACCGTATAATGAACCGACAAATGCTATATTCTGTAAATTTAAAGCAATAAAATTTTCTGATTTAGTCAGTCTGAATACTGCCGTTTTTATGTTCAAAGTTAATAGGAAAATAGTGCCTGAAAATATTCTATGTTTGTTTGAAAACAGGGAACAGAAATATAACTTAAGAGGAGAGAACATGTTTAAAAAACAGATTTTTTTCAGAACAAACTTTAAAATGAACACCATCTCGGTAAAAGGGGTCGACTTGTGGAATGGTCTCACTGATGATATTAAGAGGAGTAATTCCATTCATTACTTTAAAAAACAGTTTAAAATCTTAATTTTTGACAAATATTCGGATGCTTAAGAAAAATTGCCCAAGATAAGTTTATGTATAATTGTTGTGTTTAGATTTCAATAATATAAGTAATAAATAAATATTTGTAATCAAGTGCAGAGGTTTGTATGTATGTATATGAGTATGCAGTATGTGTATAGGAATGAGTGTATGTTTGCATATGTTTATACATGTATATTGTTTATGTTCAAATTTTGATGGGTAGATGTTGATGTATATGATGTAAATAGGGTAGGCGTAATAAGCCATGGCTTCAGCCTACACCTGTTCGGTTACCTTCTTTGTTTGTAATGAATTTGTTGTATATATTCTGTTTTATGTTTAGTAACCGAATAAACCTTTATTATTATTATTATTATTATTTAAAGATACACGCATGAAAACAGCATGTTTTTGCTTCCCTCAAAAATGGGCTTTTACATCATGGTAGGCTACAATAATTTATCTGATTTGAACTGAAACTTCACAGACATATGCTCATACGTCAAAGAATGTCAATAATATGTCATTCAAGTTCAATTAATTTGTCTTCTCCACAGATCACTGAACCAGTCCGACCAAAACCAACCAAAATCATTTAAAATGCATTTATATGTGGATTTTGGATCATAATGACGTGTGATCTCTTTCTCCCACAGGTCATTATTAGTGTCTTTCCCGCGGTGCACATGGCGAAAGTCTTCGTGTACGGGACGCTAAAGAAAGGCCAGGCCAACTACTTCAGGATGAGGGATCATGCCAACGGTCAGGCCGAGTTCGTGGCTCACGCTCGCACCGTTGAGCGATACCCGCTCGTGATCGCAACCGAAGACAACATCCCCTTCCTCCTGAACGTCCCCGGGACGGGTCAGCGCGTTCACGGAGAGATCTACAGCGTGGACCAGAAGATGCTGGATTACCTGGACGAGTTTGAAGATTGTCCACAGATGTACCAGCGCACACTCATCCGGCTGGAGCTGCAGGACGGGCCCGGCGGAGGAGAACACACACCGGAGGCTGGAAGTAGCGTCGAGGCCTTTGTGTACAGCACAGAAACATATGAACCCAAGTGGCTCCAAAAACCAACGTATGAGAGTTATGATTCTAACGGTGATCACGGGCTGCGCTATGTGTGTCGTGAAGACAGATGTCTTGAGTAGGCTAACATTTACCAGGGTTTTACCACACCTGCCAGTGTCACATTTAATTAATTAACCATTCAAGTATTTTACAACAAAGAGAGTGTGTAGAGCATTGTTTTTTAAATATATTTTTTGTTCCGTTATGACAGTTAGATTATTTAGCTGTTTTAGCAAAAAATATAGTTTTTAAGGGAAAAAAATGATGAAATATAAGTTTTTGAGTGGTTTTGGTCATCATATACTGTATTCACATTTCTCAGGGAATCTTCCAGTCATAACTTTCTCATGGTGACGTTGCAACTTTGTTTCCAGATATTTTAGCAAATTAATGAGAAATTACCGCATAGGCCTACATATTTGGAGGGAGAAAACAAAATCCTAAAAATCTATATCAACTTATTGGTACTGTATATTATCCGCTATGTATAATGTTATTAGAAGATGTGATGATTTCTGTAGACATTGTCATTTAAATCTGTGTGCTTTACGTTTACACTTAAAACCGTTAATTTAGTACTGAAATGTTTCATTTTTGGCACTTGGCAAGTGTTTATTTTGGTGTTAATGTGGTATCAAATGGCATTATTAATTTAATGCTGTGTAAATATGATAGATGAGCAGCACTGTGTTTTATATAGTACTTCAACACTCAAAATATTACCATGCTTACAGGGCACATTTAAGTAGCCTATTCAAAGGATGATTCAACTGTAAAAAGAAATGAGAACAATCTTAGAAATATATATAGAATTATGGAATCTTAATCTTCAATAAATAGGCTGCATAGTGCTCTACTTATAAAAGCACCTCAATATTGAATATCTAGATATCAGGTGTATCTGTACATGAGATTTCTAAATTGCACTTTAAAAATAAAATGAATAAATTCAAAATGTTTTCATTTTTGTTGTTTTAGAACATCAATGTAAAATGACAACAAATGCAGCACACATGCCATATATATATGGATTTGTTTATTCTGAACATATTCACGCACTGTCAAACATACATATCTGCCAACATAATCCATATTGGGTTTTTTAATATATATATATTTATATGCATTAAGAAAGAATTAAAATGCTTAAAAAAAGATTAAAGAAGAATTTTGGCACTCAAGCATTTAGACCAAAGGCAGCTGCTTCCTTCAGAGAAAGACTTTTCTTTTCTTGCACCATGACAGAATAATGGCTGACGCTGAGGGATTGTGTGGCGTTCCCTCATAAACGAGTGTGGAGTGGTTCACAGTTAGTATCAAAACTTGTATAAAAAACGTCCTACAAAAGAAAGGTTGGAAGGCAGCGTGTGCCGTAGTCTCAGGCCAGCAGAGATGATGCACCGAAAACATTACAAATCCAGCTTGTGCATAAACCGGTCCGGCACGCCCGGGTCACTTCACCCAAAAACTCAATTTTGCATCAAGTCAAGCATATTTTTACGAGCAAAATGATTCCTAATGTAATATAGTAATGAAAATCAGTTTTATTTGAATAAAAATCAGTATAAATTCAACAACAAATTAAACTAGCTATTGTACATATATATATTACAATAATGCAAATTTCAGGGCAAATTGTCATGGAAATGCAATAAAAAATTAACTTAATGGTCCTAAAAATAGGCTTTATTTTCTTCATGCAAACAAAAAGCTTAATTTTTGTCCTTTGGATTTCGGGGTGAAATATGACCTGAACATCTTTCGCCAGTTTTTTTTGTGTGTGTGTGTGTGTGTGTGTGTGTGTGTGTGTGTGTCTTTCTCACTGAAATGTAGTCAATTCATCATAAACATCATTATTAAAAGCTGTGGTGTTACTACAGTTAAAATGTCATTGATAATTTCTGTTCAGTTTACAGGCATTTAGTTCACGAAACACGAGCAGAAGAATTTCAAGTGTAAATTGTTCGTAAAACAGTTCTCAGAGTAAACCATCTCATTCAATTCAATAAAACCGGTCTCACGTACACAATAGCACCCAATAAACCATTTATAAAAGCACTCGCACATAAACGCTCACGTACAAATCAATAAAACATTCGCAAAAACATCCTTCGGAATAAATCAGCACATACACCCGTTGCATTCAATAAAAAAATCGAAAAAAAAAACATTCCTGAAAGCATTCTTGTGAATTTTACGAACAATTTACACAAATGAGTTGCATTTCATGATCAAGGACTGTTTCCCAACTAAATATCGTGTCTTTCTGCACATTTAAAACTGGAAGTGTTTGACTTGAACCCGCTGATCTCTCCATCGTGCGATGATGTTGATGATGATAGTAGTATTTTCTGGACTCTGGCACTGACCTCCATATTCTCATGATCTCACAAAACTTCACATCTGAACCCAATCAAAGGCTGAATTTTTCTATAAAGTGAAACGACGATACAGCACACGAAACCATTCCCACTCAAAGCCGCTGCCATAAGAAATGTGTTAGTGTGTGTTGGGAGAACCTGATTGAGAACGTCCTGTGTGTGTGTGTGTGTGTGTGTGTGTGTCTCTTTGGTCAGTAGGGATGTGGATCTTTGCGGCTGAAGGAGCGGATGTGATTGGACGAGCACGTTGCACTGCGGATCACCTCCATCCACCTACAGATCACATGACAGGAACAGGATTCAGGACTGCAGTAATAATGCACAATAATGTATCGAACAATGCAATGAAGTCGACTTGACATCTATCTGTCTGTATAATATATTTATAACATTATTATTTTTATAATTATATTATTTATGATTCATGCACTTTTTGTTTTAATTTGACATATTTTGTATTGTTTTACTCATCTATTTTGTTTTATCCATTTTATTTTTTGTAGCATGTTTCTGTAATAGAGTATTTTATTATGGAAGCATGCTACCAAAAAAAGTATATAATTTTGTTACAGAAACATTTTTTTTTTAAAATCATAAAATATTGTTTGCTTTTAATTTGAGATATTTTACATAGTTTTACTTATCTATTTTATTTTGTGTAGTACTATTCTGTAAATAATATTAGGGATGCACAGATCTGAAAATGATAATTCTTTATATTTGAAAGCCGATATATTGGCTGATAAATCTATATCCACATTTTTATAGAATTTTTGAGAGCCTGATTGCAAACACAAAAGTGGTAAGAGCCAAGCACTTCAACACAGCTCCTGTTGAGGATGCACAATGTTTTATTTCAGTAATGTTCTCATTATAATTTGATGTAGGATTTGATATAACGCGGATCCACAACAGAACCGGAAGACAATACAATGCTGAATAAAGTCCTAGTTTTTGTTATTTTTGGACCAAAATGTATTTTCGATGCTTCAACACACTCTAACTAACCCACTGATGTCACATGGACTACTTTGATGATGTCTTTATTTCCTTTCTGGACAAGGACAGTATACCGTACATACATTTACAATGGAGGGACAGAAAGCTCTCGGACTAAATCTAAAATATCTTAAACTGTGTTCTGAAGATGAACGGAGGTCTTACGGGCTTGGGTCGACATGAGGGAGAGTCATTAATGACATAATTTTCATTTTTGGGTTAACTAAGCCTTTAAGTAATGAGTAATATTAATTAATTACATGTACTTACTATAGGGATAGGGTATTAGGATTTGGTTGAGGGTTAGTTACATGTAACAAGGACACTGTAAAATAAAGTGTTACCAAGTATTCTCATTACAGGAACACACTACAGTGTTTTGGTTGTACGCACCTCTCAAACGTGTACTCGCTCTCGGATCTGAAATAGTAGACGTGTGATTTGAAATGCAGCTTGAAGACGTAGTCTTTATGGATGTTCTCGGACTCTGAGGGAATGGTGATGGAGTATCCCAGCAGAGGAAGACTGGCCAGGGGAAACTCGTCCTGCAAACAGACCTTCACGTCAAACACGGCACAAATACTCCATTAAAGGTCATGAGGAAATGTGCTATTCTGTGAGCTCGTCTCACCTGGTGTGTTTTGTAGAAGAACAGGCTGAAGTTGGTGAAAACCACCCATAACTTCTGCCAACCATTGCTGTTCTTAAACTTCCTCAGCAGATTCCCAGACAGCTGATTCTGAACAATAAAGACCAATGAGAAACAGAGAGAAGACGCTTCGCATTCAACCAGGGTCCAAAATCTACAAGTCAAGTCACCTTTATTTCTATAGCGCTTTATACAAAGGTGCTAATATTTACATTTTAGGTGTTAATATGAACATTTTAGGTACTAATGTGTACATTTTAGGTGTTAATATGTACATTGTAGGTGCTAATATGTAAATTATAGGTGCTAATATGTACATTTTAGGTGCTAATATGTACATTGTAGGTGTTAATATGTACATTGTAGGTGCTAATATGTACATTTTGGGTGCTAATATGTACATTTTAGGTGTTAATATGTAAATTTTAGGTGCTAATATGTACATTGTAGGTGCTAATATGTACATTTTAGGTGCTAATGTGTACATTTTACATGCTAATATTTACATTTTAGATGCTAATATGTACATTTAGGTGCTAATATGTACATTGTAGGTGCTAATATGTACATTGTAGGTGCTAATATGTACATTTTAGGTGCTAATATGTACATTTTAGGTGCTAATATGTACATTGTAGGTGCTAATATGTACATTTTAGGTGTTAATATGTACATTTTAGGTGCTAATATGTACATTTTAGGTGCTAATATGTACATTGTAGGTGCTAATATGTACATTTTAGGTGCTAATATGTACATTGTAGGTGCTAATATGTACATTTTAGGTGCTAATATGTACATTTTAGGTGCTAATATGTACATTGTAGGTGCTAATATGTACATTTTAGGTGCTAATATGTACATTTTATTTTAGGTGCTAATATGTACATTTTAGGTGCTAATATATACATTTTAGGTGCTAATATGTACATTTTAGGTGCTAATATATACATTTTAGGGGCTAATATGTACATTTTAGATGCTAATATGTACATTAAGGTACTAATATGTACATTTTAGGTGCTAATATGTACATTTTAGATGCTAATATGTACATTAAGGTACTAATATGTACATTTTAGGTGCTAATATGTAAATTTTAGGTGCTAATATGTACATTTTAGGTGTTAATATGTACATTTTAGGTGCTAATATGTACATTTTAGATGCTAATATGTACATTTTAGATGCAAATATGTACATTTTAGGTGCTAATATGTACATTGTAGGTGCTAATATGTACATTGTAGGTGCTAATATGTACATTTTAGGTGCTGATATGTACATTTTAGGTGCTAATATGTACATTGTAGGTACTAATATGTACATTGTAGGTGCTAATATGTACATTTTAGGTGCTAATATGTACATTTTAGGTACTAATATGTACATTTTAGGTGCTAATATGTACCATTAAGGTACCAATATATGCAACCTTACAAAAGTGTACCTTTTGAAAAGGTACAGCCCCAGTGACTGCTTTTGTACCTTTTTTTCTGAGAGTGTACAGATTGTTTCAAAGCAGCATTACAGAGATAACAGGAAAATAGTGATTGAATGATGTAAACGGGGTTCATTCTGCTGTAAAGCGGCTCGTGACAGAAAATAGTGTCATTGTTCAGATGAAGTCAGTTCAGTCTTGATTCAGATTCGTTCAATAACTGTGTAAAGATCATCACATATGAAATGAGTTTAATTCATCTATTGAAGCAGCTCTGCAGAAAAGCCTAGTTCAGTTCTCATCTGGTTAGCCAACTTATTAATATGACTTATATTATTAATGTATTTATTTAATAATATATGAGGTTTTTCAAAGTACATATATAACATTTAGTTTCGTAATCAAATATATTTGATTTACTTGAATCTCTTATAACGTAATGCATAATTTAAATCACAATATACAGTACGAGAGATACAATTGTGATGTAATAGTTAATATGATCTATCAAACAGTTTCCAATCTTCAAAATATCTTCTTTTTTGTTCAGCAGAAGAAAGAAACTCATACAGGTTTGGAACATGAGGGTGTAAAAAATAAAAAATAAATAGGTGAACTGTCCCTTTAAATCACGCATAATCTTAAAATGAGGAATTTTAATGTAATGCATGATTTAAATATCTTATATCGTGATTTTAATCATGCATAATGTAAAAAATACTAATTTTAACATTATGCATGGCTTAAATCACAATATATTCACAATTTCAAAGATTGCATTTGTCGTTTGGTTTTTATTTACCAAAGGCAATTTTTACTCACTTGACTTAAATATAATATTTTGTATATTTTGGACTCTGGGCACAACAAAGGTATGAGACCGACAGCACAAAGTGTCACCATGTTCATTTCAAAAGAACTTCTTCCTCTGAATAGAGCTGAATCTTGAATATTCAAGATCTGAATAGAGAAAGTGTCCATTCATACAGGATTCAATTCAGTTTTATTTAACATTTTTGGACGATGCACACATGTGTCAGACTGACAACTTTGTATGTCTTGTAGTTTATTCAGCATATCTTGACACAAACGCTGCATTTTTAAGATGCCATGTCAAGTTAATTTTATTTTACCTTTATTTTACCATTCTAGATCATCTAGATTTTATTATCATCATTGCAAGAAGGAGTCCTGTATGAATGTGTGTCTGAAACTGAGGTGTCGTTACGTTTGTGCTGTTAGTGAAAGACCTGAAGAAGAATCAAACACATTCAACACGAGAGAAACACACTGAAGTGAAGCGAACAAACACCATCACAACCCCGAGTACAGTCAGTGTTCAGAGGGACAATCACTGCTTTCATATCAGTTATTACACTCTATGTGCAAAGTAGACAGTCCAGCTCAGGGTGTTGAATATGATATTAAGGTAAAACTAAGAAATCATTGATTGTGTGACACTGCGGGAAATTCAAATCCACTATTAGACAAAACGGACTCATTTAAGTATTTTACAATCCTATTATAGTATTATTACTTTTAAAATGGCTTTTTTATATATATATATATATATTTTCAGTTTTCACTTTGTTTTTTCTCAAGTTTTCATTTATTTTTGTTTTAGTTTTAGTCATTTAGGTACTTCAACTTATTTTATTTCAGTTAGTTGTCAATGTATTATTATTTTATTTTTTTTCTGGGAAAATAAGAGTGCAGTCTATGTATTCTTTCACTAACATTTTTACAGAAACGAATAAAACAATTAATTGATTATATATATATATATATATATATATATATATATATATATATATATATATATACATACACTAAATATAATTTATTATATATATAAAAATCATTATACAGTAAAAATATATTAAGTTTTTGTAGAATGTTTTAAAGATACTACTATACAAAATGTATTATATTATAAATGTTGTAAAATGCATTTGCCATGTTTTTAGAATATTTGTATTTGCTTATAATTTATATAATTATATTTATTGTTTCTTATAACTTATAATCTTAATTATTTTCTTATACAACTTATTTAAGTTTTAGTAATTTAAGTACTTACAGGTGAAACTCGAAAAATTAGAATATCATGCAAAAGTTATCATTTTGATGATTATGGCTCACAGTTTATGAAAACCCCAAATTAAAAATCTCATACATGAAATCAATAAAAAAAAGGATTTTAAATGCATAAATGTCGGCCCTCTGAAAAGCACAATAATGCATATGTATATAGCTAAATATACTAAATATATTAATTTAACCTTTTAATTTGAATTACTGAAATACATGAACTGTTGCACGATATTCTAATTTTTCGAGTTTCACCTGTAAGTACGTTCTAATTTTCATTTAAGATTCACTTTTTGATTGAATATTTGTATTTTAATTTATTTCAGATTTATTTCGATTACCGAAAATGATTTTTAATAGTTTTAGTTAACAATAACAACACTGGTTTGAAGACGGCCTGTAATAACAGGACTTATAAGCTCATTAAATATCCTTTGTTAAGAAAACTTAAACGCGATATCAGGTTAAAAATGTAATTAACATGAGTTTATCTTCACAAATCACCATCCAAACATCCGAACCGTCACTCTGTCGCATCTTTAACTCTTCTAAATGCGCAAGTGAAATGGTCCATTATACGGGTCCATGTTTTACCTCTCTACTCCTGCAGGTTTCGCTAAAGGAGAGGCTTTGGACACGATACCAACACACCAGAGCGAGAGACACGGGCCCCTGGGCCCTGAGCGGGGCCACAACGGGAGCCTCTGAGAGACTGACTGGACTAGGGCCGTCTAACACAGCGGAGGACAGAGACAGAAGAGAAGAAGAGAAACACACACAGTCAGAGACATGACACACACACACACACTGGGGTTGAACAGGGACACGGAGAGAGAGAGTCTGAACCAGGAGGAAGACCAGCACTCGTCTGATGAAGAACACGTCACACAAAAAAACACTGAAAAAAGAGTTTAGAAGGAAAATATGTGAAAATCCTTTAAACAAGATCCACTGACTTGAGAGGCAACACTCCATGAGATCAGCTTTTATTGATTATGAATATACTGCGAGTGTATTGTGTGTTTTACTGCGCTGGCGATTTATTTCCACTTACACCAAAAAAGGTTTATATATTAAAATAGATAAGAGGATATATATATATATATATACACTCACCTAAAGGATTATTAGGAACACCTGTTCAATTTCTCATTAATGCAATTATCTAATCAACCAATCACATGGCAGTTGCTTCAATGCATTTAGGGGTGTGGTCCTGGTCAAGACAATCTCCTGAACTCCAAACTGAATGTCAGAATGGGAAAGAAAGGTGATTTAAGCAATGTTGAGCGTGGCATGGTTGTTGGTGCCAGACGGGCCGGTCTGAGTATTTCACAATCTGCTCAGTTACTGGGATTTTCACGCACAACCATTTCTAGGGTTTACAAAGAATGGTGTGAAAAGAGAAAAACATCCAGTATGCGGCAGTCCTGTGGGCGAAAATGCCTTGTTGATGCTAGAGGTCAGAGGAGAATGGGCCGACTGATTCAAGCTGATAGAAGAGCAACTTTGACTGAAATAACCACTCGTTACAACCGAGGTATGCAGCAAAGCATTTGTGAAGCCACAACACGCACAACCTTGAGGCGGATGAACTACAACAGCAGAAGACTCCACCGGGTACCACTCATCTCCACTACAAATAGGAAAAAGAGGCTACAATTTGCAAGAGCTCACCAAAATTGGACAGTTGAAGACTGGAAAAATGTTGCCTGGTCTGATGAGTCTCGATTTCTGTTGAGACATTCAGACGGTAGAGTCAGAATTTGGCGTAAACAGAATGAGAACATGGATCCATCATGCCTTGTTACCACTGTGCAGGCTGGTGGTGGTGGTGTAATGGTGTGGGGGATGTTTTCTTGGCACACTTTAGGCCCCTTAGTGCCAATTGGGCATCGTTTAAATGCCACGGCCTACCTGAGCATTGTTTCTGACCATGTCCATCCCTTTATGGCCACCATGTACCCATCCTCTGATGGCTACTTCCAGCAGGATAATGCACCATGTCACAAAGCTCGAATCATTTCAAATTGGTTTCTTGAACATGACAATGAGTTCACTGAACTAAAATGGCCCCCACAGTCACCAGATCTCAACCCAATAGAGCATCTTTGGGATGTGGTGGAACGGGAGCTTCGTGCCCTGGATGTGCATCCCACAAATCTCCATCAACTGCAAGATGCTATCCTATCAATATGGGCCAACATTTCTAAAGAATGCTTTCAGCACCTTGTTGAATCAATGCCACGTAGAATTAAGGCAGTTCTGAAGGCGAAAGGGGGTCAAACACAGTATTAGTATGGTGTTCCTAATAATCCTTTAGGTGAGTGTATATATGTATATATACTTCCTCAATTCAACATCAAAGTTTGTAAACAAACCTGCCTGAAAAGTTTGAAGTACTTGTAAAAGCCTGAATTTCTTTATATATAAATATATATATATAGGAAACAAATACTTAAGTCTTAATATCTTATGCAGCGCTGCTTCTCAAGCAAACTGATCTTGTACGACAAAAATACTCGTTAGGAACAGGATTTCCTGCAGTGAATGAAAAGTCATTATATCTTCACCCTCATGTGTTTGTGCACACTTGCTTATTTTTACATTCAAATGTAGTGAATCTGATGATGCTTTCAACTACCGATCAAACTCTCTGCTTCAATTATGATGCTTAATTCCAGATATTAACTCGTGGAAATGGAAACGGTGCACAAACTCCATGAGGGACCGATTACAAGTGTCGCCTTGAAAACAGTTGAAGTTCCCAGGAGAGAGAGAGAGAGAGAGGTTAACACAAACACAGAGACACAACGGAGGAAAAGCACAGGACACAGAGACTGGACGCTCAGGATCATGACGGCTTGGCTCCGGTACCTCTAACGCTACGCTAAAGTCCACCATGGACACGCTGGTGCTGCGGTGCCAGCACACATGAACCGTGGTGTTACCGCGGTGAGGCGTCTGCCGCTCGAGAGACGTGCGAGAGGCGCTCAGGTCATCCTCGGATTCCTGGTCAGCGCTAGATTCCTCAGGGGATTCTGGGAAATGTGGGAAGAACAGCCATTTAAACAGCCATTGCACAAGAAAAAAACAAGAAAAAGTGTTTTTTGTAACATATGTACCATGGTAAAATAATAATATGGTGTGTAATAATACATCAAATAATTATTTAAAAAAAACATTATTATATCTGATAAATAAACTATATGAAATAAATTAATAACAATTAAATAAATAATAAATAAACTCAATTTCATAAATATATAAAAAAAACATGCATTTTTTGTTACTTTGTGTGACCATTCCTACTTACACATTTTGTTTTACTTTTATGTATAAGACCATTATACATTTTTGTAAGCTTGTTTATAGTTTTTATTTAAAATAATAATAATAATAATTATTATATGTAATAAATAAACAATAATACATATGATATATACATAAATAATAAATAAACTACATTAAATAAATGTATAACAAATTAAAAAAACTTTTTAATTAAAACCATGCTTTTTTTGAACTTTGTATGTACCATGTTTCTTTTGGAAGTATCGTACTATCAAAGTAGTCCTTGCAAATTACCATTATACATTTTTGTAAGCTAGTTTTTATATATAATGATAATAATAATTTGTAATATTTTTTATTGATTTAATTATTATTATAACTAAAGAATGCATGAATAAATGAATTTTACAGACAACTACAACACTGGATATAAAGCATGTGGAACTGTCCTTTGCAGTCAAAAAGTTTTGCATGAGGTTTTCACAATGACACACAGTAAACAAAAACTCAATAATATTTCAGTCATATATGAGTTCATGCAGCGGCTCACAGGAGAGAACCGTGAACACACACACACACAACACACACTTCACAATGACATCAACGTCCAGAAGACAGGAACAATGCCAACAAAGAAAAGCAGAAGAGATTTAGTTGAATAAAGCAGAAAAAGAGTGTGTGTGTGTGTGTATCAGATTGCCGTGAAGGACTGGAAACCTGTGAAATATGATCCTGTGCAAAAACTGCTTTGTTAATTCAGTGTACAATGAGCACAAACTGTGTTTGAACACTCATAAACACACTCGTAAACACGTGCATCAGTCCATTACACAGAAAAACACAACATGTCATGAACTCTTCTGCAAGCATTAGTGTGTAAGAGGCCGGTGTCCGATCAGTGAACTCAGGACTAGCTGTAGATGACATGCAGACGAGTGTGTGTGTGACTCACTGCCGTCAGTGAAACTGCTGGACAGGATCTCAGCCGAGGCTCCGTTGCATTTGTCCGACAGTTCGATGGCCATCTTGATGTCCTCCACCCACTTGTCCATCTCAGACTCTGAGCTGAGGACGAGACGCAGACACGGTCACTCACAGAGGAGACGCGAGCGGGTCACTGAGTACACCACACTAATGAGGCTTCTCATCAAATGTTAAAAACAGCCTTTTGATTAAAAAAAATATTCACACTACATCATTACATAATTAGTATTAGCATTATAAATAATAATTGTCAAATTTGTTTTTATTATTAATTATATATTAATTTAATAATATAATAATTATTTTAAAAATATAATAACAATATATCATAATAGTTTAACATAAATAATATTATAACTATACAAGATATATATTATTTATAACAACACCAAATTATTAAGTGTTATTAAATATTTAAAATGAAATAATAAAAACAACATTTTTATTATTTCAATATTTGTATTATTAGTCTCATTATTATTGTTAAATATATGATAATAATAATAATAATAATAATATAATTAAATAAGAATGAAAACAGCAACAATAATAACTTTATTTTGTTTTTGTTTATATTATTATTTAATTATATTTTAATAATAATAACATTATTATTACTCTTAGTGTTGTTGTTATTTATATAATTTATATTAATTATATAATAATATATAATTAAATAATAAAAACAACAACATTATTATTATTTCAATATTTTTATTATTAGTCTTATTATTATTGTTAAATATATGATAATACTAATAATAATATATAATTAAATAATAATAAAAACAGCAACAATAATAACATTCTTTTGTTTTTGTTTATATTATTATTTAATTATATTTTAATAATAATAACATTATTATTACTCTTAGTGTTGTTGTTATTTATATAATTTATATTAATTATATAATAATATATAATTAAATAATAAAAACAACAACATTATTATTATTTCAATATTTTTATTATTAGTCTTATTATTATTGTTAAATATATGATAATACTAATAATATATAATTAAATAATAATAAAAACAGCAACAATAACAACATTCTTTTGTTTTTGTTTATATTATTATTTAATTATATTTTAATAATAATAACATTATTATTACTCTTAGTGTTGTTGTTATTTATATAATTGATATTAAACATATAATAATATATAATGAAATAATAATAATAAAACAACAATATTATTATTATTAATTACAAATGAATAATGTTAAGTATTATACATTTAATATATATATGTAATACAATTATTATATATTTAATAATAATCATTATTTATTGTTATTTATGAAAACCCCAAATTCAAAATTAGAATATTGTGAAAATGTTTTCACAACTGTAAGCCATAATCATCAAAATTATAACAAATAAAGGCTTGAAATATCACACTTTGCATGTAATGAGTCTATATAATATATTAGTTTCACCTTTTAAGTTGAATTACTGAACCTTTGCACGATATTCAAATTTTTCGAGTTTCACCTGTACTGATATTAAACTTGATTTATTTGGACAACTTATATAATCAGTAACCCTCATCATGACGATGTTCCCATCAATTTCTCGAGCTCAACACACAATAAAAACAAAAGGACGCCAACTGCTGATTTACTCATTTCTTTCCTTTGCACATTAAACATGAATTTGACATTTTTGGACATGGATACTGACATGCATAAAGTCCGCTGTGTAATAATGTCCCAGTTAAACTCAATCTGGATGTTTTACCTGGCGGCGACGACGACAGACTGCCGCTGTCCGAACAGAGTGAATGAATGCGGGACGCCCCACTCGTCCTCACTCTCTCGGATCTACACACACACACACACATCACGGTTAGTAACATGTGGACAAATCTTAAGTCAGAAGAACATGAAGGCATCTTGTCACTGAGGTTATTTAGGGCCCTGAGCAGTTTTAGGGCAGTTTACTGAGACGCGCTGGCGCTGCAGAACAACAGATCTCCTGTGTGTGTGTGTGTGTGTGTGTGTGTGTGTGTGTGTGTGTGTGTGTGTGTGTGTGTGTGTGTGTGTGTGTGTGTGTGTGTGTGTGTGTGTGGATGTGCAATTAGTGATAGGGAACACGTCCAGGACAACAGAGGGAACACTGTGCTGTTCACTCATTACTGATCCACGTTAAAGTCACACTATAGAGACCCAAAGTAATGAAAACACACCCACCGTCATGCCATACAGAGGAAGCTGGCCGTGAACTTTGAACTGATTGGATGCCGTCATCCCTCGACTCGTGTACATCAGAACATCATTGAACTGCAAACCATTTCAAGAGGTGAAAGGAAAACATTAGACTTCGTTATTTTATCTCTCGTAAAACCATCAAGAAAGACGATTCACTTCAGCTAGGAGTCTAAGGCACATGAATATCATTAAATATTGACGAATATCACGGTATTATTACTATAGTAGAGGTCCAAAAGACATGGTAATATCATGGATGAATAAAATCAACAAACAAATATAGCATAATCATTTGATATAATAAATAATAGTATAACTATAATACATAATATTATAACAATAAATAATTATTAATATTGAATAGCCTATATGACAATATATAATTAAATAATAATTAAAACAACATTATTATTATTATTATTAGTGTTACTGTTATCATTAAATATATAATATACAAATAAATAATAATATTCTTGTTATAATATAAATAATAATATTCTTGTTGTTTTTGTTATTATTATTGAATATATGACAATATATAATTAAATAATAATTAAAACAACATTATTATTATTAGTGTTACTATTATCATTAAATATATTATATACAAATAAATAATAATATTCTTGTTATAATATAAATAATAATATTCTTGTTGTTTTTGTTATTATTATTGAATATATGACAATATATAATTAAATAATAATTAAAACAACATTATTATTATTAGTGTTACTATTATCATTAAATATATAATATACAAATAAATAATAATATTCTTGTTATAATATAAATAATAATATTCTTGTTGTTTTTGTTATTACTATTGAATAAATGACAATATATAATTAAATAATAATTAAAACAACATTATTATTATTAGTGTTACTATTATCATTAAATATATAATATACAAATAAATAATAATATTCTTGTTATAATATAAATAATAATATTCTTGTTGTTTTTGTTACTATTATTATATAATTTTATAATAATATTAATAATAGTGTAATTATTATTAGTATTATTATTAATACAATTGCATTGAATTAATTAAAAATATAAAATCAAAAAATAAATAATTACAAATAAAACAAATAATAAAACAAAAAAATACACAAATTATAGAATAAAAAAAATAATAAATGATTAAATAAAACAAACAACATTTTAAAAATAAAACATTAATAAAAACATAACAGTTAAAAAAAATGATCAAATAAAGAATTCATAAAAAAATATAAAACAAAATAAATTTAAATATCAAAACAAAAAAATAAATAAAACAGTAACATTCAAGTACCTTGTATAATTCACTGTAGTCAATATATATTCAGAATAAAATACCAGCACAGTTATTTTATTAAGAGATGCCACAAACTCTGAATGGGTTATAATACTAACTAACCCTCTAATAGACGTCTAGTGTGCGAGAGTGAGCGACTCTTACCAGGAAGAACATCCTCTGCTGAAGACCTTTTCCAGAGAGTTTGCTGAGACAGCCGAGCCTGATAAACTCCTGCCAGAACACACACGAGCAGGTCAACGAGAGCGAGACTAAACACACCTTCACATCAGCAACACACTCAATCACTTCAGGAACCAGATCGCCACAGGCATTACAGGCTATTTAAAACAGTAATATCCTATACTAAACCTAAACTAATACTGACAAACTACATACCATGTGAAAGCTTACAATCTCTAGTTGTCATATTGGGTGATTGATTTTCAAAATAAATTACAGAAGAGCCGTAATTTATCAATTTGCAACAAGAATATTTTCATACTCCTAAGGCGTGTTCAGACCTTTATTTTGAAATAGTGATGAACATGAAAATCATGAAAGAATGGTAGAAACCTGTTTGTTTTCATGCCAATAGTTCAAAAGATAACATCCATTCATTTTTTTTTTTTTTGAAAAAAAAAAAAAGGTATGAAAATGTTTTAAATATAAAGAAATAAATCAGCATTTGTGAGGTGGCAGCGAGCTATAACGCACATGCGTGTTATTTTTATGTGATTATTGAGGTTGATTTCATATCAAAATATGCCAAACTTCCCTTACTACTTCTGAATAGGATGCCTACTTCATAAATTGTATTAAAATTGTGGAAATAATGGTTTATATCACTCAAAACACATATGGAAATGGAGGCGCCCTTATATGGGCAGTAATGGAGTCTGGTTGTGCCCTAGTGGAAGCGTTCGGTACTGCGCCCAAACACACACACTCTCACTCAAAGCTCATTTTTTGAGATATCAACCTAAAATTTGAAACAGAACTGCAATTTTCTTGCAGTTTTAGAGTCCACCAGGTTTTGAAAATTTATATTTTATATAAAATATGAATTTTTACATTTTACATTTTCATAAACTCAAACTTCTATAACTATTTTTCTGTTTCACTTTCTTAATTTATTTAACTTCTACAACAATCTGCCAAATGTCTTCTCTAAAACAAGACCAATCCTACATCTATATTCCAAAGCATTCTTGGATTACAACCATTTAAGTTCGAAATGTGCATTTTCATGTTTATTCAAAAAAGGGGGCGCGACACTTAAGAGGTTAACTACTTTTAAATCATCTCTTAAAACCTATTTCTTTTCCTTGGCTTTCAATACACTGTGAGCTTCTGCCATAAATGTGTGTTTCTTCGTTTTCTCTGTTGTCCAGCACTTTGGTCAGCTGTGCTTGCTGTTTTTAAATGTGCTATATAAATAAAACGTGAAACTTGATTTGAAGAACTGACCCGTCCAGGAACGGCGAGACTGTCGACGCCCACGAGGTCCTTCTTCAGCTCCAGAAGCTTCTGGAAGTTCTCCATCTTAATGAGCGTGCCGTGAAGCTGCACAACCATCTCAGAAATATCAGCGAGCGCAGCTGGAACACACAAGAGTCACAAACACACGATCAGAAGGACGACTCGGACACCTGACGACAGGGCTCGACATTCACGCTTGTCCGGGACAAGTGGATTTTTTAAAGGGACAGCGAGTCAAAGATTAAATGACACATTCATAAACGAATGCCTCATTCTTGAATGAATGAGTCGTTTGATCGAATCGTTTGAATGAATGAGTCGTTTGATCGAATCGTTTGAATTAATGAGTTGTCTGATCGAATCGTTTGAATGAATGAGTCGTTTGATCGAATCGTTTGAATGAATGAGTCGTTTGATCGAATCATTTGAATGAATGAGTCATTTGATCGAATAGTTTGAATGAATGAGTCGTTTGATCGAATCGTTTGAATGATCGAATCGTTTGAATGAATGAGTCGTTTAATCGAATCGTTTGAATGAATGAGTCGTTTGATCGAATCGTTTGAATGAATGAGTCGTTTGATCAAATCGTTTGAATGAATGAGTCGTTTGATCGAATCATTTGAATGAATGAGTCGTTTGATCGAATGGTTTGAATGAATGAGTCGTTTGATCGAATCATTTGAATGAATGAGTCGTTTGATCGAATCGTTTGAATTAATGAGTCGTTTGATCGAATCGTTTGAAGGAATGAGTCGTTTGATCGAATCGTTTGAATAAATGACTCAATGACTCGCTCATTAAGACGGTCGCCTGCCGCCACCTACTGGCGGTTTAGTGTTATGTTTAAAAGTATCATTCTTTCCAACATTTCTTATTTGCATATTCAAAAATATTTAAAACAATCTCATACCATTATTTAATGCAGTTGTAATTTTTTTTTTTGTGTGTCTTTTATCCTAATTAAATGTATTGATCAAATTTAGGAATTTGAAATGAAAGATGAAGCATACATTTAATAAGATCAGGGAGCGAAATGCCCTTTAAAAGGTGCAATTATGACAATATGCAGATTTAAATATATATATATATATATAAGCTACATGAACACTGATGAGAATATTGAGTATAAATATTAAGACAACTGTTTTTTGTTTTGTTTTTCTACTCTGACAAATGAATGACAGATGTACGTGTCTGAAGGATACGGAAGTGTATTGCATTCACTTGAGGAAAAAAAAATCTACTCTGTTTTTCTGAATCAAGTTAATTATCTCAGAATTATGAGATAAATTTTCATGGAAAAAATGTTTTTGCTCTGTTTTTCTGAATTAACGAGTTAATTATCTCAGAATTATGAGTAACTCATTAATTCATAAAAACATGAAAAAATGTTTTTCAAGACATATGTATCTCATAATTCTGATATAATTAACTCGTTAATTCAGAAAAACAGAGTAGTTTTTTTTCTTCAAGTGAATGCAATACGCTTCCGTAGCAGGACAAGCACGTGAGGAATGAAAGCGTTGCGTGGCGCACCTCGCGAGTCTCTGAAGTCGTCGTGTGTCGGTGGATAGTGTTTGCAGAGGCGCTCCAGGATCTGCTTGTAGTGCATGAGACGGTGAAGCGGGCGAAGGAAGAAGATGTTGAGCGGCAGGTAACAGACTTTCTGAAGCTCGAAGTCTCGACACAAGCCCTCCAGCTTCCGGGACGAGCGGCTCGTTCTCTCCAGCTCCAGCAACGCCTCTGAATGCTTCTGGAGATGAGCCGTCAGCAGCTGAGGACACAGACACACAGCTCACACATCTGTGATCATGCTCACAACACTGCGCTACGAGATTAACTAAAACTATTAAACACATTTATGTTGAAGTCCCCCTGTAGTCAATCATTTTATCCCTTTAAACTCATCTTTAATCACCAAAATGACATATTTAAACGTTTTTTCCTTGAAAAAAACAGAAATAGTTTTGTGCCTCGAAATAGCTTGAATGTAACTCGACACCCTTGCCTCATTTAGTATACGCAGACCCATGAATATGCAAATGAGCCCCGCCTCCACTCACTCACTCAGCTCAGGGATCTACTCGTTGGCGATCACACGTTGATCTGATTGGTTACAAGGTATTAACTAAAACTATACAAAACATTTCTGTTAACTAAAATAAACCTGAAATTTAATCTAATCTAATTATTAGTTGAAAATTTTAAATGTTGACTTGGCAATAAACTGTTGAAGTTGAACCACTAAAATTGTTAACTGTAAATAAATAAAACTGAAAAAAAAAAAATATATATTAAACCTAGGTAGCAATATTTAAAAAAAAATAATAATAATAATAATAATAATAATAAATTACAGTTTTAGCAAACTAAATGACGAATTTTTTTTTTTATAAAATTAACCTGAAAACTAAAAATATAAAAATAAAAGCTACTTCAAATTATTAATAAAAACTAAAATAGCACTGTTTCAAATTACCATCATACCATAGCCAAAAATACACTACTGACTGATGGCACTCCAAGAATACCAATATTATAGTATTCTTTGTAAATACCATGGTATCTTAACAGTAATCATACAGTCCTATGGTACAGTATATTGCAATGTATCTGATATATATATATATATATATATGTGTCTATACACACTGTATATATATATATATATTGTGCTTATGTGGTTATATATATACTGTATATATACTGTATATAATTTATATGTACATATACACACACAGATTTATATATATATATATATATATATATATATATATATAAATTATGTGTATTATGTTGTATTGCGTTTAAGCGGTTTGTGATGTTTTAAAATATTTGTATGTCACACAATGAAAGCACTGAGGCACATGAACACATTTCATATAGAAATTCAAGAGGGAAAAGCAAGATGCCCATAACGAATAATTCCCTGACATGAAAGAAAAGCAGTCCCAGAAAGATGAAGATGTTCTGACCTTCAAACCCTGGATGTTCTTCAGCATGACGTCTCCGACGCGCTGGTAATCTCCTTTAATGTGAGCGTTCGATCTGCCTTCCCTGAGAACAATAACACAAGCGTTTTAAGACTGAAGCAAATGATGTACAGCAACAAACATGCTAAAATGCTACAGATATCCGAATGTAAATTATCCATATTTTATGCCCAAAATATTTTACTACAATATTAATACCAAACCTTGAAATCAGTCACCACTGTCATTAAATCAGAGAGAAATGAAATGACAAAATGAAGTTCAATGCAGGTCTGAATGAGATGTTGGAGTGAATAATGATTTGAGTCTGTTCCTCACACTTCAGAAAACTTGGAATATAGTCTTATTGACGTATTGATTATAATATTAAGGATTTTTGTCCTTGCTTATGCTTGACAGCCCCTGTCTCTACTTACTTTTACTGAATAAGCATTTTGCACATTCTGCTAAACATTGACATTTGTGTTTGACAGAAGAAAGAAAGCCGCACAGGTTTGAACAACATAATGCTGAGTTTTAATTTTAGGTGAAGTAATCCTTTAAAGTAGGGATGGCCCGATACCATTTTTTTTCAAACCGATACGAGTACGAGTATTTACATTTGTGTACTTGCCGATACCGAGTACCGATACCGATATTTCTACCGAACAAGTAATAGGCTCCCAGAAAAGAAGACGACTATTTTAGAACACAGGTTAGAAGACTGTTTTTATTTTCTTCTCTGCTTGTTTTAACAAGTCTAAAAATAAATAAAAATTAGTAAAATAATAAATGTATTAACACACAAACCACTGTTAATTTAACATAAAAGCAAGCAGGCTACTGCGTGCATGGTTTGGCATGACTGAATGCGCGCAAAGTGCGCTCCCTTAATAAATCCTAAAAGCTGACAGTTCATCGCGATCTCACACATCTCTGTTATTATCAATGAAGCTGACTGCACAATCAATCTTTCATAATATCCACACTTTGTTTGTTATAATTAGAGGATTTGCCAGCATACAGAATTCAGCACTGAACAAAAAAGTCCGTTTTGAGCGGTGAGGGGAGTCTATTCATAAATGCTTCTGATTTGCCATTGCGTTCCAGAAATCAACACATATGTCTGTGATTGGCTACATCGCTCAACGCTGTAACCATGTTATGAATAGAAACTCTGTCCTGTAAATCGTTTCTATTTTGTTGTAGTTGTTCTTGTTGCTTTTCTGCAAGAGATGAATAAAAATCTTTTAGTTTTTATTTTTTATTCATAGATATTTCTAGTTTGCGGGAGTCCCGCGAATCGTTTTATTCTCCCGTAACCCGCACACACAGAGTGAGTGCATTACCGCCCGCGCGCGCGCTCGGCCATCAGATCTATGATGCGTCTTCAGATGTTTAATTAGATTGCTGGTGTTAAACGATGTACTTTCTTTCCCTCCTCTCGACACCTTAGCTGAACATAACTCACAGTCTGCCTTGCTGTTGTCATCATCCCTTATCTTGAAATGAGCCCAAACCGCCGACATTATACTTTCCTATGTCTCAGTTCACCTCGACAAAGCTCTCGCGGCGGCCAGTTTCGTTTTGCAAAATGTACGTGGTATCGGTGCGTGGTATCGGCGAATTTTTATGAGTACGAGTACGAGTATATTAGGACAGTATCGGCCCGATCCCCGATGCCAGTATCGGTATCGGGCCATCCCTACTTTAAAGTCTCCCTGTAGTCAATAATTGATCACTCAAAACTCATCTTTGAACACCAAAATTGCATATTAAAATGTTTTTTTTCCTTCGTGCCTTAAAATATCTTGAATGTAACTCGACACCCTTGCCTCATTTAGTATGCGCGGTTCTATGAATATGCAAATGAGCCCCGCCTCCACTCACTCACTCAGCTCAGAGATCCACTGGTTGACGATCACACGTTGATCTGATTGGTTACAAGGTCGTTTGTGACGTCAGAAACACCAGCGATTTCAAACCGTGTTTTTGAGACTGTCTTTGGTTCACTGCAGTTTTAAGCAGGAAATACTCAGCAATGCTGTCGACTTATGAATTAGCACATGATTCGTCTTAAAGCACATTAAAAACACCACATAGACACATAAACAACATTAACCCTTGTGCTGCATTAGATTTTTTACGCCGTTGAGTGCATTAATGGACAAAAATGGCCACATATTAAACATTGCCTAAAATATTATATATTATTATTATTTTCCACTTTTACCAAGTTAAATCTTTTAACCAGCATCAGTCCTCATCATAACTACCAAATATGTATTTAATTTCAGGATTTTAACCCTTTAAATACCAGTTTTGGTGGCGATACCATCAATTTGTATAAGAGGAAAAAACACAAAAATGTAATTATTTTCCATACACTAAATGCAAAGAGAAAACTTTAGCTTTGGATTATCACAGTCTTGAATATGTCAAAGATTAGCGGCAACATTATTTCTGGTGCATTTAAAGATTTTGTGTTATGTCAGATTTAAAAAAAAAAATCCCTCTTAGCGCGTTAATGGACAAAAATGGCCACATATTAAACATTGCCTAAAATATTATATATTATTATTATTTGACGATCACACGTTGATCTGATTGGTTACAAGGTCGTTTGTGACGTCAGAAACACCAGTGATTTCAAACCGTGTGTTTGAGACTGTCTTTGGTTCACTGCAGTTTTAAGGAGAAAATACTCAGCAATGCTGTCGACTTATGAACTTACACATGGTTTGTCTTAAAGCATATTAAAAACACCACATAACAACATTAAAAGCTGGATTTTCACCACAGGGTCTTGAAGCGAAGTGCTTATGTCCTCCAGTAGATGTCTCTGTTGTACATGGTTCCTCCCTGAACTCAACTCTTCCTGAACATCATCTATCACACTGTTGAGCCGTTCCCCTTAACCCTCGCCGAGAGCCACCCAACACAAAAACCACGATTCATCATCCTGTCTCTGAATACCGGTCCAAACCTGCTCCCCACGGACCATGTTGAACATTACAGCCGAGAGAAGAGCTGAGGCGGCAGAGCTCCCCCAGTCTCTGTCAGGACACATTACGCTGTCGGGTCAGAGGTCACATGCACTACCGGATCAGTTCTGACGACCTGATGATCTCAGAGCATTTCTAAGAGATGAGATGACAAGTGTGTCTAATGACACGACATTGATTTGGCTAGAAACGGATATTAATATAATATAGAAATATAACATATATGAATGAATATGAATATGTTTGCTATAACATATCCAAATAACGGAAATGCTTTTATAATCTTTATTGTTGTTTATTTATATGTGGGCAATTGTGACAAAGAATTTCCCCTTGGGGATTAATAAAGTATTACTGAACTGATATAGAAATGCACATAATATAAAACATATACTGATATATACACACAAAGACACAGAAATCATTCTAATATGCTAATGTTTATCAATGTTGGAAACAGTTGTGCTCGTGCTGCTTAATATTTTTTTATAACCTGTGATATTTTTTTCGGGATTCTTTGATGGAAAAAAAGTTACAAAAGAATAGCATTTATATCAAATCTAAATCTTCTGTAACAATATAAAAGTTTTTTTTTCTTTCTATTTAATTTTTTTTAAAAGAAATTAGTACTTTTATTCTGCAAGGATGTGTTAAATTGATAGTAAAGGTTTATTAAGTAAATAGATTTGAACACAGAAATAAATTATATTTTAAAAGTATATTAAAATAGAAAACCATTACTTTAAATTGTAATAATATTTCATAAAATTACTGTTTATACTGTATTTTTTATCAAATAAATGCAGCCTTGGTAGAGACTTCTTTCAAAAACATAAAAAAAAAAATAATGTTTCCAAATCTTTGACCGGTACTGTAAATAAATATACACAGTACAACAGCTATGCTTTCCAATACTTTTAATTTTAGTTTTTAATTCAATATTAAAATGTGAATGATTTATATTTTCTAAAAAATATAATAATAAAAAAATGCACAATAGTAATTTGACTAATATAAACAATACAAAATACATATAAATATTGATTATTTATTTTCCAAACAATATTAAATTCTCTTTTCCAAACTGATAAAAGCTGGTGACTAGTTAAACTACTTATGAAGCCTGGAGAGGGTCACTAGACCACCAGCATCAAACTGTGCAATATTATGACTAAAGGGTGTTGTTAGAAAACAGCAGAAAATGTCTTTAGTTATCGTTAAAATAATGTCACAACACAACAGGCTTCACTTTCTGTATGCAAAATACAATTGCCCATTTGGGTTAGGGAGACCACCAGACACAAGACATGTATTAATGTAATACAGGCATGTAATAGTGTATTAAACTAATGTGACAGTTTGAGGTGTGTGTCTGTTATGGTTGGCGCAGATTGTAAACATTCCTGACACCAATACAACACACACACACACACTTTTATCTGAAATACGCACCACTGAGCCAGTCGCTGCTCCACTTCTTTCAGGAAGGTCTCGTGGAATTTGTACACCGGTTCGAAATTGGCAAATATGAGATTTCTCAAGGAATCCGGCATGGCTTCATCCTTCCCAATGGACTTCTGAAAGGACTGAAATCACATAAAAAGGAAGAGAAACATAAGAACAGCAAATATCAGCGATGCTTTCTTGCACCAAAGAACGTTATACGATCATTTCCCCTTCTCTCCGTTTCTGCTGCGGTCCCTTTAAGACTTTTATATGTACCGGTAAATAAGCTCTGCTAATGTTCATCAGGTCAAGTCAATAAGGATCCACGATTCTGGATAAATTGTGAACTAAACAAATTAATATGTCATTTACTAGAGGTTCTGACAAAATGTTCATTGCTGCAGTCTATTTAAAAAAAAAATAATACTCTGAATGATCAATTTAAATAACAAAAAAAAAAAGTTTGAGTGAATGATTCAATGACTCACTCATAAAGACTTCACTTGTTTCATTACAGGATGAATCAGCGTTTTTTTAACCAATTTTTTGAATGAATGATTCAAATTACACACTCTAAACAATGCTGGGTTGTTTTAACCCAAATTTGGGTCAAATATGGACAAACCCAAATGTTGGGTTAAAAAAATGGAATTCAAAATTTTAACCCAACTTCAACTTTCACTTTCAACTGTAAATTTTTTAATTAGATTTTTAACCCAACATTTGGGTTTGTCCATATTTGACCCAAATTTGGGTTGAAACAACCCAGCATTTTTAAGGTGGTTGTTAAGTTTAGGTATTGGGATTATTGGATGGGGAATATGATCATGCAGAATAAGGCATTAATATGTGCTTTATAAGTTTTTATAAAGCACATATTAATGCCTTATTCTGCATGATCATATTCCCCATCCAATAATCCCAATACCTAAACTTAACAACCACCTTACTAACTATTAATAAGCAGTGATTAGGAGTTTATTGAGGAAAAAGTCATGGTTAATAGTGAGAATTGGGCCCTAATAAAGTGTGAACAAAATTGTTTGTACAATGTTATATCAGGCGCATCATATACAGTGCTTGGATAATGGTTTAAAATATTTGATCATCAGATTAATTAAAATGACTTACGTCATTTCAGATATGTCCATACGATGCGGTTTTATCAAGTGTGAGATGTTTTGATGCATAACGACACTACAGTTTTCAACATTATAATCATAATTTTTTCTTGAGCATCAAATCATCATATTAGAATGATTTCTGAAGGATCATGTGACACGTAATGATGCTGAAAATTCAGCTTTGATCACAGGAATAAACATATATTTAATGAGTTGAGCCAAACCTATCAAAAATCGTACTTGATGGTTATTCTAATCATATTAAATCAGATTTTGTTTCAAACAAACATGAATATAAAGGCTACAAGACATGTGTTTTAAACTAGATTTTTCATCATCTTACATACGTACACTCTAAACAATGCTGGGTTGTTTTAACCCAAATTTGGGTCAAATATGGACAAACCCAAATGTTGGGTTAAAAAAATGTAATTCAAAATTTTAACCCAACGTCAACTTTCACTTTCAACTGTAAATTTTTTAATTACATTTTTAACCCAACATTTGGGTTTGTCCATATTTGACCCAAAATTTGGGTTGAAACAACCCAGCATTTTTTAGAGTGCAAACACATTTTTAACAGTCACTTGGTGTAATGATGTAATTGATACAATCTTTATTTGAAGCGTCAAGTTATGAATCAGATTGCGTGGGTGTTTGAATCAAGATCGCCATCTTTAAACAATTAAATAGGTGTTGCTAAATAGGCGTTGACATGTAAATGTGGGCGGTCATATGTTAATGAGCCTCTTTTTCCACAAAATAATTTCACAAACACAATGTTCAAGATGAGCTGTGGAGGAACGTCTAGTAATTCAAAATCGATTTTCGTTCGAATGACCCTTCACAGTAATAGGAGGTACACATCAACCCTTTGAAGACTTTGTAGACATTTTCCATCATCATATAAAACATGAAATCACACACTATCAAACCATTTGACTACTTCATACAGATCCAAACATGAACAGATGAGCAGCCGTGGGCATTTCCCCAGACAAAATGTGATGACTATCTCAAACAGACTCTGACGTGATGACTGGAGAATCCCTGAATAAAGAGCCTTTGTCCCCTCGTCCTCATGTTCTGGATACAGCAAGACGTCCATCAGGACTCCAGCACTAAATGTATTGTGATTCTATAGCATATTGAATAACAGGCAAACACCAATCAACATGCTGAACGTCTCCCATCCGAGAAGGTGTTTAAACTGTTGAACAGATGCAGCTGTAATAACCTGAGCTTGTGGGAGTCTGGGATCCAAAGCCTCAGATCCACAAGCCAAAAGGAAATATTTATGAGACATGTGAACGCGTCGCCCTGCTGCTTCTCTCCGCTACCTTGTAAGACATCAAAGAGACGCGCTACACCCCCGACGTACAGACAGAAGAACAATGACTAACTCCTTATCTTCAATTCTCCAGTCAACCTTTCATTTGCAAATGGATAAAGACACAAAGTACGCCTAAAGGAGTAGTTCACTTTTTAAAAAACTTTTGCTGATAATTTACTCACCCCCATGTCATCCAAGATGTCCATGTCGTTCTTTCTTCAGTCGAAAAGAAATGAATGTTTTTGATGAAAACATTCCAGGATTTTTCTCCATATAATGGACTTCAATGGTAGCCAAACGGTTCAAGGTCTAAATGACCGTTTCAGTGCAGCTTCAAAGGGCTTTAAACGACACCAGACGATGAATAAGGGTCTTATCAAGCGAAACGATCGGTCATTTCAAAAATAAATAAAAAAGTTAAAGTTTTATAGGCACAAATGCTCGCCTTGCGAACTCTCCTGTTCGAACTCGTTCATCAAAATGAACGAATCTTTTTTCAAGTCATTGACTCGTTCATCAAAATGAACGAATCTTTTTTCGAGTCATTGACTCGTTCATCAAAATGAACGAATCTTTTTTCGAGTCATTGACTCGAAAAAAGATTCGTTCATTTTGATGAACGAGTTCGAACAGGAGAGTTCGCAAGGCGAGCATTTGTGCCTATAAAACTTTAACTTTTTTATTTATTTTTGAAATGACCGATCGTTTCGCTTGATAAGACCCTTATTCATCGTCTGGTGTCGTTTAAAGCCCTTTGAACAGTTTGCACTGAAACTGTCATTTGGACCTTGAACCGTTTGGCTACCATTGAAGTCCATTATATGGAGAAAAATCCTGGAATGTTTTCATCAAAAACATTAATTTCTTTTCGACTGAAGAAAGAAAGACATGGACATCTTGGATGACATGGGGGTGAGTAAATTATCAGCAAAAGTTTTTTTAAAAGTGAACTAATCCTTTAAACGTCCTGATTTAATTTATCTTGCTTTGTGTAAACATTCAATTTTTACAGAGCCTCTAAAGGGACCTTTACAAAAATAAAAAATATACAGACTTTCGCAAGCTCACGAGAAACTTTTGCGTACGCACGAGATTTTTTTTGACTAGTTTCTCAAGCAAAAAGTTTCTCAGTGAGCATGAAACTAGTCTGTGCGCATGAGAAACTCTTGCGTAATCTTTTTGAATGGTTTCTCACTCTCTAGAAAAACCACTGAAATCCCCCTAGCCAACACCTCAAACATCTTTTCCACAACCTAACAATCTAACAACTATCAGAAAACAAAGTTTAACAAATACTGGGAATGTTAGCAGCATATATTTTTTTTCAGAAAATGTACAAATGCCCCTTTCACATGAAACTGGGGTAAGAGAAAGTGATTTAAAACTAATGCAAAACGTAAATAACAGCATCCGTCACAGCAGCAGCATCCCAGACATATCCATTAGACTTCGAGGTATTTAATGACCGAAAACAGCCTGAACACATACAGAGCACATGAGAGTGTGTTTACGATCTTACCACAGTGATGACCTCCAGATCCTTCAGATACGTTCTCTCTGTGGTCAGGAGCTCTTTGGCGATGAAGTACGCTTTATCGGTCGGGAACCTCTGTGAGCAGGAGAGAGGGACAGAGAGAGAAATTACATTAAATGAACAAAAAAATGATAGGAGATATTTCCATTAGTGCTGTTAAAGGGTTAGTTCACCCAAACATGAAAACTCTGTCAGTAATTACTCTCCCTCATGTTGATCAACCCCGTAAGACTTTCGTTCATCTTCAGAACACAAATTAAGATATTTTTTATTAAATCTAAGAGCTGTCTCACTCATCCATAGGCTTCTTAAGGGATCGAAACTGGCCGGCCCAGAAAAGTTATGAAAGACATTGTTAAAATAGTCCGAGTGACTACAGTGGCTCAATCTTAAGTTTATCAAGCGACGAGAATACTTTTTGTGCGCAAAAAACAAACAAAAATAACGACTTTATTCAACTAATCATTTCCTTCTCTGTACGGCCGTGATATTTCATGTAGTGAAACTACGCAAAGCTTCTAGGTTGTACGTCACACACACACACACACACATGACCAGCGTCGGCCAATAGTAAGCCTACGTGTGATGTGCAACCTAGAAGCTTTGCGCAACATCACTACGTGAAATATCACGGAATATCATGAAATATCAATAATCACACCATTAATTGCACCTAGTAATATATTTAAATATATTTTTATGTTGGAATACTGTCACACTGAATCTCCAAAATAATGTATATACTGTATAAGTAGCCTATATATATTATATTGTAGCGCAGTCAGAAAAAAAAAACAGAATGCTGCGTAAATTGCGTTAAATATTTTTAACGCATTTAATGCATCGCAATTAACATTAATTTTGACAGCCCTAATTTCTATATAAAGATGCCATGAAATCAAAATTATAGTTTGGTGGCTTTTATGATAATGAACATTAGCTTGAAGGCCATATGCTAGTGTACTAAAATAAAAATGTAACTTTCAGCAAATATAAGCATTGAAAATAAAACTATTACATATATTTAAATATAAGCATCTTTCTCTTCTGATAAAGACAGAGCAGAAATGCATAGCAAGTAGCAAATCACTAGACAAGATCTTCGACAAAACCAAATTTTATCCTCACTCAATTGCGTGAACACACACACACACACACACACACACACACACACACACACACACACACACACACACACACGTCAAGTAAAACTCTCACTGTTCACTGAGCCGCTCACTCCGCCGCTACATAATCTGCCCTAAATAGACAGGAATTTAGGTTGAGTTTATCTAGGTCTCCTATTCTGAGACGTCCACAGAGACACTGGACCAAAACGCAGTGGCACTTCTGATGAGAAAACACTTTTAAAGCAGTCTTTCCACCTCTCATCGTAACCTTAATTTGTCTAGAGCACCTTCAATTCAAGCAGAGTGAAATATAAAGGGGAAATTACCCGAGGGTCCTGGAAATCGACTGCAGGAGATGATTGATTGCTGTGTTTGTTCATGAACTACAATCAAGGAGGTTAAAAAGGCTGACAAAAACAATTACTGGGTCCAAATGTAACGTTTTGCCATAGAAGAGAGAAAATAACTGGGCTTAAGTAGATATTAGCGTGAAAACTAGTGGCAATATATTGGTCAGGCACATTTTTCAGCCAACATTTGATTTTTAAGAGTGGATTTTGAAATAAATACTGAGTAAAATAAAGCTCTATTTTTAATTTCATACATGCATGTTCTGCATGTGATTGCACAGCCACATACCCTATAATGAAAGGGTGTGCACACTTATGCAGTTCGTTATTCCAATTTTGTCCCTGAAATGTGTAACTGGTTTTCAGAGCCACTGCATAGGCTGTAATTTTTAGATTGGAAGTGAAAGAGTTCTTGACATGATTTATCTTTGTTTCATTTTTTACATCACAAAAACCAGCTGTTTTAACAGGGCTGTGTAGACTTTTAATGATAGTATTACGTGTATATAGCAGGGGTGTCTAAACTCGGCCCCGGAGGGCCACTGTCCAAGTTTCTAGTATGCTTAGTAAGCTGATGAGCCGGTTCAGGTGTGTTTAACAGGGGTTAAAGCTAAACTCTCCAGGACAGTGGCCCTCCAGAATCAGGATTGGACACCCCTGGTATTTAGTTTGTCACTGTTATATTGCTGAAAACCCATCGCTATACTATCATCAGCGAGGACTAGAATATCCCTCTTACAACTGTCAACAATTTGACATAAACCACAATGTATTATTATAGAGTACTCGTCCAAAGTGACCCACCAGAGTCAGTTTTTACTAGCACATGGTGCTAATCTCAAACACTATTCCCTCCCCAAAAGACAAACCTTCCTCCGAACCTCGTCCTCGTCGTCTGTGCGAACGAAGCCGGCGTCGGTCAGTAAGGGGCTGGTGAGAGGAGAAGGCTGACGACCATCTGGACTCTGGCCGAGACTGAGACTCTGTTTCTGGCCGTTTACCATCACCCTGCCTGCAGACGGAGACTCGTTGTGCTGAGGGCTCCTGGAAACAGGACCTACAGGAGAACAGGCAGGTCATGCTAAAGTCTCGAAGCAATACAGACCTGGTAATCAAATAGCAATGGATTAGTCAGACTTACTGCACTTAGTAAATGCAATCGGTACAACATGTAAATGCAGTAAAACTACCCTGCTGAAAAAGAAGCCAAGCAAGCAATTCTTCACTAGCAACAACCATTTTACCAAAAAGACTAGAGCGAATTGAGCTTAATTTTACCAGTAAACTGCATGGCTATGATGGTCCAACCAGCTTCATGCCAGTTTAAGCTGGTCTTTTCTGCAAGGTAGTTTTGACATTTTAATCCTTAACACTACTAGTAAAGATTCTGGATTTATCAAGAACATTGCCAAGGGGTGAAGCTGCACAACACATTGTGTTTAGAAATGGACTACGGCTGACAGCGCCACATCGGGAACCAGACATGAGTGAGTCACACTATCCCAAGTCTGGGATTTCCGCCTGAGGACACTGCCGAGATACATAACACACTCCCTGGGTGATGGGGAGGGGAACATGTTTTATCTTCAGACCACTACATTCACTACACAAGTACATTCACATACTTGCCCGACAACGTTTCGTGTCCCATGCCTTGGCACGAATGGGATGCGACATGCGAACCGGGACATTTCAAATGCACCGAGTGTCCACAGCGCAGCCATTATTGAGGAAATCTGCAAATCTGGTGACAAAGGCCTCATGGTGGCACGCACACATGCGTCGTCAAACATGCAAAACACACAACTAGAACGACTACGGCTACTCTACCACAAGACAAGACACACGAGGGGGGCGCTAACATCTAAGGGGGACCGTCAGGCATCGAAATGTAAACATCTGGAGCCCCGCTTCACAAGTACCAAGTTTTATTGCTACCAGTACACATTCATTTACAATGTTAAAGTGTTCCAGAAATGAACAAGACAAGGGAAGAGTAATGAAAGGGGTTTGGAGTAGTAAAAAAAATCCAACAGACATCAATCATACAGAACCTGTGAAGAGGCATCGAGAAAATGAACAACCTTGCAACTTTAGAAAGTCCATTTATGTGCTACAGGGTTGCAACAAAGAGGAATAGTTAAAAAAAGGCTAACAAGTGTGAACTTTCCATTGCTTACCTGGTTATTAATTATTGTACAGTCTACGTCAGACGGTTTGTAAACACATACACTTATGGTTAATTGTTTTGCATATGTGCCACAGAGATAGCACTGTTAATTATGAGTATTTAAAAAAAAAAAAGTACAGTTACAATATATCACACAAATTTATCTGGAACTTTTCGTATACCTCAGCAAAGTACATTGCATACTGAAAAAATCAGGAGGAATCACAGGTTGAAAAAGAGTGAATCATTCAATACTACTACGGTACTCTGATAAAAACCTAAAAGAAAGTTAAATCACATTTTAGTGTAACTTGCAAAAAGCCAGAAATGCTACTTTGGTCACTGACTGTGATAAATTACAGATCATTGGAAACGCTGGGAGAGTGAAGACTATATACATTCATACCGTATGTTCAACAGTGGCCTAAACTAATGCTTTCCAATAAATATCGTCAATGCTTTCTTTTCATGTAACGGGCCCAAAAAAAATGCAGTGGTCCTGCAATTGGCTTCACAAACACTTTCGAAAACTTTTCACTGACATAAGATTGCCATGCAAAAGTAAAACAGGAAAAGTTTGCATTTGGAAAATGAAAAGATTACCGTATATTTTTAAATCAAAATATGCTTCATAGACAAGATTGTGAAACTTATACTATGCAAGTATGTGAGTCCAAATGTTTTCCCTAGTGCATCAGAAGGCAATAAGCAAAAACCGAGAGAGAGAGAAAGTGCCTAGAAAGTCTGGATAAAAGGTCCTATTGAACATAAGTTGAAGGACATTTTGGATAGCTCTTGGAAACCTTCCTAATCTTTTCAGACTTTACATGCTGAGCCTCAAAACAAGTTTCTCTGTCCACATCTCACTTACATCCATCTCCACTTCAAAAGACCACTGCATTTTAAGGGGCCCGTGTCAATGCCAAGTCTCTTACAACAGGACAGGGCGGTAAAATGCTGGAGACAAGGACAGGTTGACATGCTTCCAGGAGAGAGGAAAAAAAGACAAGGTGAGGCATTCCAGAGATACATGCTGGTAGAACAGTGCTGACATTGGGCAGGAGAAGTCTTAAAAGCAATGCAACCTGAGCACAGGTTAATATACTCAGAAACCGAGTGAACATCAAGCATTGCAAACGCACCGCAGACAGATGACATTGATGAGGCGTGCCAGAGATACAGCAGTTTGTTTAGGCAAAAAAGAAATTAAGCAGCAAAGCAAAACAAAATAATATGAGATCTTTACAATGCCGTTTTTTTTTAAGGAGTGATGCATGCTGGGAAATAGGCAAGCAAACATGACAATGCCACCAGATCAGCACCCCAAGTACAAAGGTAAAGAACTTGGAGCTTCTACTGTTTACGTCTCGTCTACACAATCTCTTAGATTATCTAATATACCATACACCACCCAAGCAGTATGATCTATTTATATGACTATTGTTCAAGTTTTTACACAAGTTATCCATCGGAATATTGAAGTTGCAGCTGTAAACCAGCTAGCCTAGCTGTGACAGTCAAAGCCACGGAATAGTGATATTACATATTGATATTGCATAACATTAGCTTCTATAAGCTATAGCTATGGCCAACAGAGAAGTATTTACAGATTAAGTAAAGATATGGCATCTTTCAGTATTTTTGTAATTCTTTCATTCTACAAGACTGACAAAGTAGAAATATTTCACAATATTAAACTCTTGGCAATACTGAATGACTAATCAACTGATTCGCAGTAATATGGGTAGCAGTTATAATCAGCTTTCATTCTCTACATTTACAGACATGGCACTTTGCAGTAGGACCTTCAACTCCTCATCAATCTCAAGTTAATCTTCAAAGAGTAATAGTTATGAGTTGTGCATATTTGAAATATTAAAATATATCCTTTAGGCAGAACACAGTCTTCTTCCTAAACCCTCCAAATCTTGAAAAAATACCATCATCGCTAATCTTGTTGATCTTGAAATGTGTATTACTTGCTCAACTAGTGCCACTAAATGTAATTACCAAACACTGCCTGTATCTGCCAAACAGATAGCCATGCCCCAATTGGTTAATGCTATTTCAGGCCATACTATGCCCACTAGCGGCACAGGAACTACACAATGCACCTGTAACCCTCAACCAGGCACACTTCATCTTCTCTAGCAGTTAAAGCATTGCGCCCCATCCTCATCATTGATGGGATAACCGTAGCCATCTTCTCCCTCTTGGCCCTCATCCTCAAGTTGGAGACTGCCCAAGGAGAACTTGCTTCGGGGCATAGGGGAGGAATTGGCCGCCCCAGGGTTTCCGTAGACTAGGGGCTGACTGTATGAGTTGCTGCCCGCATCTGACTCTGAATCACTAGACTCCGTTCCACTACTAGTGGAACCATCGATCATATGAACTGGGCCACTGTGGTCATTAGCACTCAGCCGGCTTCCATAGAGTCGCTGGACATTGCTGGACCGAGCTTGGCTAGGTGCTCCAAACCCATTAGCAGCAACACGCCGCTCTAGGGCGGCCATACGTTCAGCCCTCGAGACCACTGATCGCGGTTCATTGGCCGGGGTTGAACTTAACTGGCTCAGAATCATGGGGTCAGTGTCGGAACGGTTGCGCATGCCGTTGTGGAGTTTCTGCAAGTGTGGGGATCGATTGACAATTGGGGAGTAGCTCCCGTAATGTTGAGCCTCGCTCCCAGGTCGGCCATTGGTATGGTAATGGCTACCGTCATCCCAACGGCGATGACCACTGTAGCCGATCTGCTCTGGATGGTTCAGGGAGTTGGTATTGTGAAAACTGCTCATCACCGGGCTGCAGTTTGCACTCCGGGAACCAACTATGCGACCGGAAGGTGAGACCAGACCACGTCTATCCATACCTTGAAACAACTCATCCACCAAGGTACTGCTCAGGGGTAGAGCACGTGCTGATCCGTTACCACAAAACGACCCATTAGACAATTGACTACCACTGAAGGTGTCTGAACTCTTCCCCAACCGATGGGTGGTCATGGGAGACTCCCTAAATCTTGACTTGCTTGCCCCTAGTCCATTGTGCTGACCGTTTCCATAACCATTACTCTTGCTCGTTCTACAGCCAGTTGGCTCAACCTCATCATTGTCATGTGTGTGGGAGTGAGACCTGGTGACTAGGCCTTTGACCACATCATATTCGCTATCTATGTCACTGCAGTCGATGTAAGGTATCGAGGAGCTGCTACCCTTGGTAGCATGCGATGCTAGACCTGTGCTCAGATGCTCAGCCTGCTGCTTGGATGGGGATGGCTTTAATCGAGCATCTGCCTCCTCATGGGTCCCGTTTCGGCATCCGTTGGTCTGTGAGGTTAGGCTTCCAGTGTAGCGCTGGAGAGACGGGTTTTCAACAGTCACTTGGGTGCGCCCAAGAGGTGAGTCCGCCTGGTGTCCTGAAGCACTGGCATTCCTCTGCAACATGTACAACGCAAAGATTTGAGAAGGAACAGGATGAGAGGCATAAACTGACAACAAGTCAACAAGAAAATGTAAGCCATTTAATTTAGACAATCTATACCAGAATGGAAGCGGACCAAGTTACAACAGGCAGACAATTTAGTTGAAAATGTATTAAGACATTTACTTTGGAAAAACATGCAATGATGAATAAGCCCATTAACATGTATCAACTCTTTCCCCGCCGGTGATGTAATATTCCGTCATTTATGAGACAACGCTTCCCCGCCATTGACGTAATTTTCCGGCTTTCCGTGTTTTCACTGTTATGCGATAGGGGGCGCTATTAGGCAAATTCTGAAAGAGTACTGAATCTCCAGATCAAAAGACATGTGAAGAAGAAGCAGAAACAAGTGACAGCATATGTAAGCATATGCATATGTAAAATAACGGGATCATCAACATTAAACAGCATATAAATCAAAACTTCCTAATGTTACCGAATGAAATGTTGACCCAGGACGAGCTTTAGGACTGTGAAGCATTAGGGGTGTTGATGGACTCGATCTACTCCATCTGTGTTTTAATCTTTGTTCTGAATCCGATCCAGACGTAGTCTTTCGACAAAAACGTGATTTTTTCAGCTTGATTTTGTTGCTTTTCTTTGAAACTTACCCAAATTCAAGTTGACTAAAAAAAAAGAATGCATGAAGCTAGAATAAAAAGGGGTTCTTTGTTTAAAAGCAGAGGGTCTGTTCTTTCTTTTGATATATTGCATGTTCAGCTTTTCATACAGCCAAATATTCTGGGGGCCATACAACTTTTTTTGTATGAAAATGATTTAAAAAAAAAAAATCTACATCAAAAACGCTGGCGGGGAAAGAGTTAAGAAAGTAATTGGGGTTGATTTTGATGCTGACTTTAAGCTTGCATATTATGGGTTATTTTAATGCATTCATACTGTGTTTGTATACTAATCTAGATTACACTCACCTCTACTTGACCCTCAGCACACAGCCTGGGTGGGAATGGAGAAAGATCACTGTTGGACTGGATTTTACTATGTTTTCTAAGGATGGAAGATTGGAAACAATCAGCAAGGAGTTTTTCCAAGGGGATCTCATCACTAGGTTCAAAACCGTGGCCCTATATCCTCTCAGCTACTTCATGGATGTTGGCTGATTGGATTACTGTACGATAATGAAAAGGCCTTGACATACTGCTAGACAACAACTACTAGATTTTTCATCTAGTGCTAAAAAACCTTTGTTGGTGATGCTGCATGATGTGAGTGGTTGCTAAGGCATTGCTAAGTGGGTTCTAGGGTGTTGCCAGGTGTTTTCTAGGATGCTATGGATGATTTTTAGGGCGTGAGTAGATGGTTACTACAGCATTGCTATGTAGTTTTTAGAGTATTTTGCTAGGTCGTTCTGGGTGGCTTAATGGTTACTAGTCAAAAGCAGCATTCCTCAAGTCTCTGAAATATTTTTTGAAAAAATGTTTTAGCCTGTCTGATAATTTCCACCTGGTGAAAATGCTAAATGGAGACATATTTATGTGGCTTGAATGGAATTTGAATAACTCATATTGAAAAAATGACGTGTAAATGAGGCGTGTTGTTTATGAATGCATAATGTGATTTCTCTCAATAAAGGTTCTTGGGAAATAGATAACTGCACTCATACTTTGTCTTTCTCTTTGGTGTGTTGACTTCTGGAGAAAAATGAAATGCGGCAGAAAGGTAGTGACATTTAGACGAAGATCAAAAGAGAAATCTCACCTTTCAAATGGAACCTTTTTGAATTCTGAGTCCTTTACATAATCAATCACCTGCCTTTGTGTGCGGCCACTGATGAGACAAAACATGACAAACAACAGACAGGTTCAAAAACAAAGTAATGTCAAAACATTAACCATCTGGCATGAACTGAGACCTTCTTGGACTCTATCAATTAGCAAATAAATCCATGTAGAATATATGCTGAACCTGGGAAAGAAGTTACAGAGGTAAAATAATGTCTCTGAAATGTACCTTAACGGTAAAGTTAATTTCTGATGATGTGGTGAACTGCATGAGACACCATTTGAGTAAATGTATCTGCACTATTTGTTACCTGAACCTGAAGGAGGAACCCCTGGTGAACAAAACCGGTTTGGGCTTGGGTTTGGGTTCTTCGTACAGGCGGAAAAAGGCATGGTACTCCACACAAATCTTCCAAAACACCTTGCAGCAGTCCCTGCTTCCCATCATGAACTCCAGAGTGTCCTGACAGTTACTCTGCTATAGAGAACAGAGACGGAACATTGTGTCTTATTTGTCCTAGTAAAACTATTAGTGCTGTCAAACGATTAAAATATTTAATCGTGATTAATCGCATTAATGTCATGGTTAACTCACGATTAATCACACATTTTTATCTATTCTAAATGTCTCTTGATTTCTTTTTGTCCCATTATTTTTTATCATTTTAATGCTCTTATCAACATGGAAAAGTGGATCGAAAACAACATTGTCATATACTGTGTTCAATTTCACACTAACATTCTCACTTGGAGCAAATAATCTCTCACACAATGTAACACTGTCCATCAATAAAAGGGTGAAAGAAATACTGACGAGGTCCTGATATTGACGAGGGGGCGGAGAATTCGCATCAGCTGTGTGTGTGTGTGTGTGTGTGTGTGTGTGTGTGCTTGGCCATCATCAAGTGGTTTTTCAGACTGGATGTGCTGCGATGATGATAGCTCAGTTCACAATGACAAAACACACAGATCACTTTGGTCTTGTCAATAGAACCATTTGGCAACTTTTTAAGAGTAAATTTTCCATTCAGAATCTTATTGGCATCCATTTCGGCGTCTCGCGCTCGTCACCCACTCAAAACGTAACGTTAACCTACTATTTGGCCGGCTCGCAAGCCCAAACAAGTGTGTGTGTCGTGCCTGTTGTTTTGTTTCCGGTCTAGCTAGATCCGCTTGCGCTTTCAAAACGTCCTCGCGCGGCGCAAGCCATTGAAATGAATGGGTTTCATAGCGCAGCGCCGCGTCCTGTTGCAAAAGCATGTGAAAAAAACTACAAAGTTTGCTAGGCCAAAAAGACCATTAATCGCACGATAAAAAAATGAACGCCGTTAAAATGGGTTTGCGTTAACACCGTTAATAACGCGTTTAACTGAAAGCCCTAAAAAATATATATTAGAGGGCAAATGGACAGAAAATGATTTATGCAAGTACCAAAAGTTATTTATGAATCCATGACTCAGGTAAAGACATAGCTTTGAGTTGAGACATTTAGATACTGCCTAAAAATAATCCAACTAAAAAAAAGAGAGCACTTACATTTAAGTCAGGTCGTAGTTTTATGAGAAAGCGCTTCCTCTTGAAGCTCAGCTTGCGGACTTTAGACCAGTTGAACGCATTTATTTTGGTGTGTCCCTTTAGAAATCATATAAAAAAAGTGCATTCAGTGAGAATTTAAGACAAGAAAGCTTCAATAAAAGCAGAAATTGAGTTAGCTTGAGATCTACAATGGGTGAAACTTTAAATAGTATGCTTATTTATTTAGACAAAACTCTGTTAACTTACTTGAAAAACCAGCACACCAGAATGAGCCACGGCGAGGCTGAGCTTCGTTCCCTCTCGATCTTTTGCGGGGTGAAGACGCACTCCGTACATCTCAAGTCTTCGTGCAATCTCCAAAAGCTGGTAGTCCGATTCAGCTGGTGTCTGGCCGCTGTGAAATGGTCAAATTGTACAAAATTAAGCCTCTTTTCTTTGCAAAAACAAGTTAGTTTGACAGATAAATAAGCTTAATTACGACCTCAGCACTCACGTCTAGGAACAGAACGTTTATAATTGCAGATGCAACCTGATAAATATCACAGTATACTGCACCTCCTAAATTAAACGTGGGTTGAACTTTAAAATGTCAAAGCAATCCACAAATTGTACACAATTATCCCAGTCCCTGAATGTCTGTTTAATCAGCAAAGACCTAAATAGAAGGAATTTTGCTAAATAAGAAGCTCCTTCATAAGGGGCAATAAACAGCACACCGATCATTTAATGCTAATGTTAACTTTGCTCACGGATGAACCATATTGCATTAAACATCCTTTAAACCAAACAACTGGTTTGACTTCACTTTGAGTCATGACTTCACACTCACACGTGTTTCCGATGGTATTCAACGATCTTGTCCATCAATGTGTCCTGCTCTGGAATGTACTTGTTGTTGAGGAGATGCTGTTTACACTGAACCTCGTCAAAGTCTCCAATCTCAGCTGTAACCATAGTAACAGAGACGATTTTAATATGCATCTTTTTATATATGACACACAAATGCATACATGCATACTGTACATACACATAAATGTGTGTGTAATAAATATACACACACATGTACTGTATGTATTAATGCATGCATGTCTGTATTGATGTATGTATGTATGTATGCATGCAGCATACATACATGCATACATACACATATATGTGTGTATATGTATATATATAAATACATATATACAATGTTATATACAATATATACAATGTTAATGCCAGCCTATATGTAACAGTGTTTTAATATAATTTAAAAAAAGGTTCATTTAAAATTAATTATTTTAATTAGGGCTGGGCAACGATTAATCGCGATTAATCGCATCCAAAATAAAAGTTTGTGTTTACATAATATATGTGTGTGTAGTGTGTATAATTATTTTGTATATATAAATACACACACATGCATGTATATATTTAAGAAAAATGTGTTATTAATATATCAAATATTTATATTTATATATAATATTAATTATGTATAAATATATATCGTGTATATGCATGCAAATATTTCTTAAATATATACATGCATGTGTGTGTATTTATATATACAAAATAATTCTGCACACACATATATTATGTAAACACAAACTTTTATTTTGGATGCGATTAATCGCGATTAATCATTGCCCAGCCCTAAATATATGAAATTATTTGAATATTTAATTGTAATAAATTCAATGCTATTATATGAGCTTTTCATTTATTTATGCTTATATATATATATATATATATATATACTGTATATAATTGGTTTAAATGTGTGGGTTTTTTTGTAGCACTGGTCAGCCTCTTGATTCTTATTTATGCTCAACAGTGGTTTCCATAGCAACTGACCAGTCTGTGATTATGTGATGTGGGGGCGAAGCTTGTTTGACATGATCGAAACATGGTTTTTCATGAGCGACTACAAAAAAATAATCTGATCCGTCCACCCGACGACAACGCTGTCATTTCCATAAACCATCAGAAATTCTGCTGGAGGATCAGCTTGACAATGCAAAGTCTAAGACAAGATTAATGCACT